GCACCCCCTGCCAGACATAAAATACGGAGGACTACCTTAGGTGTTCATTGACAGTAAAGCTGAAAATAAAAACAACAGTAAAGCTGAAAATAAAAACAACAATAACAATAACACAACAACAACAAACGATGCCTATTTAGCGTATAATCAATATGCTGTTCCCGCATACAACAACCGGTGAAAATAAAGACTAAATGTTACAATCAGAATCAGTACAAATGAGATGTAATGACTTCTTGTTGCCATAGTAATATGCTTCATAGAACAGTAAAATAAACAAGTTCTTTCGGTTAATTATCACTTTGCCATTACAACAGACGCTCCTTTAATAACAACTAGTTGCTGATAGCTCGTATTGGGAATATCACAGTACGTAAATTAATTGTTATTGTTCGTTAATTAGCAGCCTAATTAACCATGTAGAGAAATTTATTGATTGTATTCATTGTATATGACGACACCCACGTCACATTGAAAAAAAAATGTATTTTATACTCAGATATGATAATGTTACAAAATTAGTGTTATAAGTGTCGGTTATGCAAAAATCGTAAGGTTTAAAAGGGAAATATTGACAAAGTACAGATGGATTTCATGGGATTGTAAACGTACGTTTCCATCATTAAATAAAATCTGCACAGCAAACGTAGAAGCACAGGTGAAATGTACTATATACGCTTTACACGAGCGAGCCTTTTTATATTCCGACAAAATAGCGATGTTTGGCTTAAACATTATATGTCTTGAAAATTATACACAACACTTTAAATGAACGGTATATAGAAATTTAATTTTCTTCGATTTTGTGAGAAGATATAAGTGCTTATAGATAAATTTCAATCTCCCAAGTAAGCAATTTAAATTTTTGTCAATTGAAACAGTTGCTGACAGAGCTTATCCCATACTGGTTAGTTCATATGAGAACTATCCAGCTGTTAGCCACTCCCCTGCCAGACCATTAAAAGGCGAAAGGTTTATTGCCAGTAAAGCTGAAATATAAAATAATCAATTCTTAGAAGCCTAAAAATAAACACAATTAAAGGCTAACTCAACAACATCTATTTGCTATAATACATAGCTGTCCGTTAATAAATGGTGTAAAGACTTAATTTACATCTGATAGTTACAATGAGATGTGATGACTTTTGTTAATAATATGCTTCATATACGGTAAATGACTTTTTCAGTAATTAATGCATTACAACAGAGCTCAAAACAACATATTAGTTGATACTCATGTATCACAGTACGTAAACTTATGATTTCGTTTCACCTATTACATTAGAGAATTATTGATTGTATCATTGTACAACACAACGTTTTGTTTTTTCTAGAATAGGCTATTTCAAATCATTTATAAAGAAATCTTCTAAAATTAACTATTGATAATGTTAAATGATATGTATTTCTGTAATGAATGGCACCAATACCTTAGTGGTGGAGTGTAACTTGTATATAACGTATAGCAATAATAGAACGCTGTATTTTTGTCATATCTAACAAATTGTTTATTAGTCATCATACATCAAAAGAATATTTCCTTGAAAATGTCACTCGTCAATAAGGTAACAAACCTGCTCATATTTCTATTATCTCGTTCGCACATTTTAAACGTTTTTTTTCTTCCTGACATTAATTTTGATGACATTGTCACGACGACTTGTCTGACAAAAGATTTAATACCAAGTCTCGAGTTTATTCGTGTGATAGTTTTCATTTTCATAAAATATTGGCCTACTTCTCATTTACAAATCATTGTTTTAGCGTCAACAATCCAATTTCTGTGAGGGCCATTACTTATAGGTGTCGTTTCCGGGTTTTCTTTCTGACGACTTTAAAACAAAGAACGGGAATTACCTAAACAGTAAGAAAAGTTGTGCCATCTTCAGAGTACATGTATAGAATTTTTTTGAAAATTTACAAATTATCTTTGAAAAATCAAAATACTCTGTGGAAATTCAACACGCAGAAGAATTACATTAGTTTCATTTCCTTCTTGCATGTACTAGTAACTCTAAAATCACGCGTGTAGTTGAATTATTGGTAGCAAGTAAAAGCAAAAATTAACTTTTAGATTTACTAAATGCACTTCGAGAAAGAACGCTACAAAATATGAAGATTACACATACATTTGTACATCTTTTAAGAGTAGATAGTGTATATAAACTTTATATGTATATTAATGATTTTTATATATTTTAAATAAGAACATCAAACATAAGCTAAATCAGTGTAAGTAAACAATTTGGTATTTTACTGAAAATGTCCTGATCGATTATATAGTTGTTTCCCACGCATCTATAACGCATAAATCATATCACTCTTCAATTTTACACGTAATCAAGTAACCAAACGCCAATGTAGAAGTTATCGAATAACTTTCTCTGTTATTCGTGTAACATTTTCTTCCAGTGTTTTTTTGTTTTGCTTTTTTGTTGTTGTCTTTTTTTGTTTTTGTTTAACAAGTTACCTATTATACTTTTAACAGGAGGACCATTGTTCGAGGGGGATATAGAAGATTACAACGGAAAATGTCACGTGATGTGTCCATGGCATTCATACATGTTTGACCTTGAGACTGGCAGGAACGAAATAGGACTACAGGTATTGTTTTTCCGGCTAGCAGTGACTCTAGCCATGTTCAATCTCTCTAATTAATTTAATTTCACTTTTTTTTTAAATTGACCTCACACTGATGATTTCAATGTAAACTAGTAACAGTGCGAGATCCTTTAGAGTGCAGGTGTGTGCAGCTTTGTTTGGATTCATATGATGGTTAATTTAGAACACTTTTGTGCGTCGTGTGGCCATAGCGACAGCACGACAAAGCGCCAAACGGCGCCTTGTCGGACTTTCGTCTTGTGGTTCTGTCGCTTACGATGCACGCCAATCGGCACGTTGTCGTGCGGCGTGTTGTCGCGATGTCACATTGTCGCTTTGCTGAAATCGAAGGATTGGCTATTTGTATATTTATAAGCCAAGCGACAGGGCGACAATGCGCCGCACGGCAACGCACCGTTTGGCGTGCTTCGCTATCGAAAAGGCGACAGTGCGACAACGCGCCGCATGACATCTCACCGTTTGGCTTGGCGTGTTTCTCTAGCGACAAGAAGAAAGGCGATAACGATATAGGTTGTGTTGTCGCTATCGACAACGCAACGCGCAAAGTGTACCAAATCTATGGTGGCTGATTTGGACGTTGCGCTGTCGATAGCGATGATAAAAACCTACATCGTTATCCTGTCTTGTTGCTAGCGAAACGCGCCAAACATCGCGTTGTCGCACTCGTCTTGTCGTCCTGTCGCTAGCAAAGCACGCCAAAAAGGCGCGTTGTCATGCGGTGCATTGTCGTGATGTCGCCCTGTCGCTTGGCTTATGTATATACAAATAGCAAATCCTTTGCTTTTAGCCGAGCGACAATGTGACATCGCGACAACACGCCGCACGACAATGCGCCGTTTAGTGCTTCGTTAGCGACAGGATGAAAGTCCGACAACGTGCTGTTACTACTTTGGTTACCTTGAAAGATTGGGGAGGGTGGAAACGCCTTTCAATTGTAAAAGAGTAAGTTGGTTTTAAAATTCTGACATTGAAATACACAAAAGATTCTCACATTTCAAATGTTTCAAGAACAGATCAAACAAATTCCTCAATACGCTTTTGAAACTTAATTGTCAGGTTGATAAGCGGATTTTAATAAGAATTTACAGCGGACATAATTCACAAATGTCTTAAATCAGAAATGACAGAAACCGCATAGTTACGATAGCATAAAACAAAGTTGTTGTGTTTTTGCAGTTTCTATGCTTCTTTTTTTTCCATTGGTTAGATTGTTTAATTTTGTTCTTTTACTACACGTATTTGCAAAGTGCATGTCATTAACTTCCGCTTGAGGTCGCTGTTCTGTAAAACATCTCGTCTGCACTACATTTCTGTAACTTTGCGTGATATCCTAGTGATGAACGTGAGACCATTAATGTTAAGAAAATTAGAGCTGCTACGAGAAGCAAAAAAGGACACTCTCTTTTTCCTGCTTTATAACACGATGATATAAAATGATCTGCATGTACTCATTACTAGTTCTATTATATGTGAGATATTTTACAGACGAAACGAAGACTATCTAGAACCAGTAACTGTACAAATAGGTTGAGTTCAATATTTTACCTTGCAAATACACATGGTTACGAGATAGTGTTACTAGTATTTTTCGTTTGTTTCAAATTTAGATATTTTAAAGTAACATTGTTTGTACTTTCAGCAAAAGGTCCATGAGCTGAAACTAGAAGGCGGAAAAATTTACGTAAAATATCACACAGAAATATCAACGGAGTCGAGTAGAAAACCATCCGTGGCTACAGGGCCCCGTATAATAAACAGACCACCGGAAGATAAACATGAAAAACTAAGAAAACAGTCTGTATTGGACACTCCTCTTAAACTTGCCTGATGTAACTGTTTTGTTAAATGTTCTGTAAATAGATATATATCTTTGTGTTTTGCAGTACCATGTTTTGTTTCATGAAACGAAAAAAAAGTATTCATCTATCTATACATATTTTTCTCAAGACGTTACGTACTTAGCCAATGACAGCGACTTATCTCAAGGTGACGTCTTGGTTAACGATATCAATTCATCTCACTGTGATCATGATTACCAAATTAAATGTATTATATTGTTGTTCATGTTTTAATATATTGCCCCATTAATAAATCGCCTTATCTATAAGCTTTTAATTTTATGATGCGAAATTCGTGGTTATCTCACAATACGAAATAGGTGGTATCTTACGAAATATGTGGTATATTACGAACGATATGTGATATCTTACGAAATGTGTGGTATCTTATGAAATAAGTGGTATCCTACGAAAAATGTGGTATTTTTATATGTAAGATACGTGATATCTTACAAAATACGTGGTATCTTACGAAATAAGTGGTATCTTACGAAAAATGTGGTATTTTTATATGTAAGATATGTGATATCTTACGAAATACGTGGTATCTTACAAAATACATGGTATCTTACAAAATACGTGGTATCTTACAAAATACGTGGTATCTTACAAAATACGTGGTATCTTACAAAATACGTGGTATCTTACGAAAAATGTGATATCTTACGAAATATGTGGTAACCCACAAAATATGTGATAATCAAAGGAAAGCGTTTCTCACAAAATATGTGGTATGTTATATCTAAAGAAATACATGTATGTAGATCTAGATCTCATAAAACATATTACATCAGTGATGTTTCACGACTTAAATGATTACGAATTTTTGCATTTAAGAGAACATTATTGCCGAAAAAAGGGACACAATAATAATCTCAGTGAGTTTGCTAAAATTACGAGAAATGTAATTGATATCACTTCAATAAATGCAATATAAATACTAAATATTTCTTTAACATATGTGCCACTTTGTGATGTAACTGTGAACATGATGATATATTTTAACATCTAATAATTAAAAACTGTGAATACCATGACAATATAACTATATATGAGCCGCGTCACGACAAAACCAACATAATGGGTTTGCGACCAGCATGGATCCAGACCAGCCTGAGCATCCGCGCAGTCTGATCAGGATACATGTTGTTCGCTCTCAGTCTCTCTACTTGTTATAGGGTTTGTAAGCGAACAGCATGGATCCTGATCAGACTGCGCGGATGCGCAGGCTGGTCTGGATCCATGCTGGTCGCAAACCCATTATGTTGGTTTTGTCGTGACGCGGCTCATATAATAAACGCGACGTTCACATATATATAGCATATTTACTCAAAACAAAACAATATGTGGAAAAAGTAGACAAGCTGAAAAATGTCGATTTCCATCGTAGGCAATGGCAGATTTCAGATTTGATAAGCCATATAAAAGCTATTTATAAATTATATAATAAAACATATATGTACTTTTTAGCTGGTGAATATGATGTGATATATACTGAAAAATTAACCTCGGCTATCGCCTCGGTTAATATTAACTTTTTCAGTACATATCACATCATATTCACCAGCTAAAAAGTCCATACAATGTATTTGTATAATATCTGATATCCACCTATTGAGATCAGAGATCATGAAATGTTATTTTTATCTTAAAACATTTTAAAAAGCATTGGAAAAGGTGAAAATTTGTTAGTTCAACGAGTTAGAGAAACCTTAAATAACATAACATAACATAACATAAATTTTATTTAACATAAAATTGTAAACATACAATTTATAGTCAAATCATATTCTGTATAGTGTAAAGTGTTACAAGTTACAATTAGCCGAGAAGTATTGTTAACCAGTATGAACAAATGTTATGATATATGTAACAGAGTTTGCATAAGAAATACTTATACATGTAAGAAACAAATGTACTTAAACAAAGAAGAAAAAATATTTGTTAACGTTGCCGAGAAGTATTGTTGACAAATATGAACAAAGGTTACGACATAATTGCATAAAAATACTTATGCATGTACACAGTAGAACGAGATTTGTTCACGTGCCGAGAATTATTGGTGACAAGTATAAACATAAATACATTTAAATATGTAAGAAGCTAAGCAGAAAGATAATTGTTAACGTTATATCATCGATATCCACAAATCAAACGGCAATTCGTAATGTGATACATTTTTATAATAGACAAAATCGTAATGTAAATCACGGTGGCTATAGGGTTACATAGGGCTAACCCTTATCCCTACTATGGCCCGATAACGCTCACCCGAGATGAAATGCAAAATACGAAATGCAACATCGTAGGACTGGAAAAATAGTATCGTAAAAAGATCTATTGCTAGGCAAGGTCATAATTTTTATAATTTCGAAATACATCAGTGGGTCCTAGTTAAGGTCATTCAAAGTGCAAAAATCAGGTTTGCGGACCATACTTCAAAATCTAAAAGTCGGGCACGTGGTGAAGATATCCAGTGAACATCCTAACATGGTCAAAATTTGAAGTCCGTGAAAACTGTTTAAATGATGATCAAAATTGTTTACTTAAATACGCCTATAGGCTATGGTAATATTCTCTCAATGTTAACAAATTTACACCTGGTATCGATATTTATGAGTGAATCTTTAAATCAATCATCAGTTTTTGACATAAAGTTTTTTGTCCTTTCGTTATTTACAATAAGAGATAAAAAAAAGTGGCAGAAGAACAGTTATAAAATAAAATTGTTTAGAAGACTACCACATGACGGGCGGATGGCTGGACAACTTTTGATTCATAAATCTCACAAGGGCCAGTGCTCAGGTGAGCTAACAGTGTTGATGCAGGAAACATTCTGATATATTGACACAAATTTAATTGCTTTTAACAGAGATCTATGTCTCTAGTTTTAATAAAATAATCAAATATGCTGAAATGTCAAGTACTGTTAAGATCACTTATTTTGAACAGACTTTATTGTATTTTCTTTATGTTAGAAAAATCACGGTAAAGTTGTTTTTTTCTTGAGCTTTTAGTTATTTTTAGCTTTACGGTAGATTAACTTATATTTTACAATAGCTTTCAAGTTAATACTTATCTTTTTATTAATAACAAAAGCAGATTATCGTAATATTTCACCAGGTATGTATGGTCACATTCGGAAATTTCACCTCAATAAGGCTAAAATGTAATTTATAACTGTGCCGCCCAGAAGCTGCACACCTCCAAGTGAGTTCATTTCGTCTCAAAAATTAATCTGTGGAACAAAAAAAAAATAATGATAAAATAAAAATAAAGATAAATTTGAGAAATACAAAATAATTTTCACGATCCCATTACCGTTTTAAAACATAAATGGTATGCTGGTATTTTTAACCGCGATTCGTCGTTACCGTTTGTACACTGTGGCAGTATATGAGACCAATACTACATAAACTACATAAGTGATTAAAATCTTATCTTTACATAACAACCAATGATATGCATTGAGGCTAAAGTAAAGAAATGATAGACGGTTTAAATTAAATGTGTCAAACTTAATACTTTTAACAAACTTAATCAAGGGACAACAATGGTTCAGATTTGAATGTGATTATAATACCTTTTTATATTTTCTAATTATTATTTCTGGCATGAAGTCAGAAACGTATATCGGGTTAATGAAATACAATTGAGAAAGTAAAATTAGATTTAAGGGTGTAATACCATAAAGTAATATGAGGTCGAATTTCGCAAACCTTTGACCATATTTTGCATATTCCTTAGATCTATAAATCGGTAAATAAGAATGGAGAAACACGTGAAGGTTTAAGTGTTGACAATCAAATAATTATAAAAGCGTACAAGATAAAACAAGCAAAAGTTTACATTCAATGTTATATAACTTAATATCATAAGAAGGTCTTTAATCTTGATATTATGTCTAATTTGTATTCACTTCTTTCACTATAAAACAGACAAATTTTTGATTGCCTAATATTATTTTTTTTTAATGTTGGAGAACCTCAGATGTCCCAGATATGGTACCTAAAAAGAACTACCTATGTCCCTTTTTGCTGCAATTGGAAGCAATTGGTTAGATGCAAGTGATAAGTTGTCAGCGATCTTCACCACTGAACTGGATCTCAACCGCTCAACTCAGTCTCCACCGCTCAACTAATTACACGATGTATGAATTGGACCATTTGCCTAAAAAAGGTTTATAATACATAATCAAGTACCACACACATTTCTCTATGGCATAACCAGCGATCAAAAAGATTTTATCAGCACTTCTGTTCAATCAGAAGTATTCATGTATCGGTTCATTAACTAATCCTCTTCGTTGTCTTAGGTATTCATTTGCTGGTTCGGAAGTATTCGTTCTGATGTTCAAAGTTTTCCGTTCTAGGGTCACAAGTACTCCTCAATATGTTCATAGGTATTCCTGTGCAGGTTCGGCAATATTTATTGTCAGCTTCAAACATTTTGGCTAAATTTCTCCGAATATACATGTATATTCTACTCTTTCAGCTTCAACAAATGAAACTCGTTTAATTAAGCTATGCTTATATGCTGGCGCTAAAAAAAACGCAACGCAACAATTATTGCATTACACTTTGTTGGTACTTACAAACTTGTCAACGCTGTTGTATTAACGTACTTGTATTCGTTCTTACAATCTGCTACTGTTTAAATTTACTCGAACCTGTTATGAGCGATTATATATTACATCACTTATAGATGCTTTATCTCAATTGCACTCGCACATGCAACTTCCAATTCTCTCGTAATGAATGATTGCGGCACACCGCTAAGTTCCAATGTTTTAATGCACTCGAACTTGCTTCCTATAATTTATAATGATAATGATGGGTCAACATAGGAAAGCTTTTTGACGGGTAACGTCGTACGTTTCATCATACGTCTTTGAAAAATAATTTTAAAGGTAAATTGCTTTTTTGAATGTACATGTGCAATATAATCTTTAAAAAAATTGCATGCTTTGCACTTATATTTCATGTCGCATATTGTTAAGAAACTACAGGCAGAATCGAAGTGTAATTGATGTTATTAAGTCATCATTCCATATCAATAATTTTCTAGGTTTAAATAAAATAAAACAATAATTCCTTTAATAGGAAACTACATATTTTACAAAAAAGTTTCTTATAAGTTAAAGATATTATCTTTGTAAAATACGTATCATTCGAATCAATAAAGTTGCACAAATTTTCACTGATGATAATTTAAAATAACACGATCTTAACCCCTACCACATTAATTATTTTTTAATGTACTTCCTCATTTTTTAATATTTTTAATACGGACTATACAATTGATCAATATTAGGGAAAAAATAAAACATTACTAAATCTTAAGCGAACAGTGCAGGCCATGATCTTGGTCTACAATGCTTGCATGGGAGAAATATGTTCGTGCCAGCAAGGGTTAAAGGAACTGCACTGTTTTTTTTCATATGGCGGGACTGGAAATAATTTTTTTCCAGATTTATGTTCAAAATTTCAGATCATTTGTTTACTCCGTTTTTCTAGAATAATTTTTCTAAATGTGAAAAAGACCCAAAATTGAAAAACGTTGCAACGCTTTTCACTTCAATCGGAATAAGAATAGCACAGAAATACGATATTCAAGTATATTTCTTAAATATATTTGCATGTCTGGCTGTTTTAGAGTGACCAAGCTGATTTAAGGACGAAGTTCATTTTTTGTGCAAATTTTCAGGCTTTTGGACCTCAGATTGCGTTCCCTTTAATTTCATACTAAATTCTTAAACTTGACGATATTTAGTTGAGAGTATATCGTTTAGAACAGTGTACTTAAATATAAAATTAATACAAACTTCAGAATCTTATTATTTTCAAGTCAAGCTGTTGCGTTCTTCAAACATCACACACACACATGGAGAAAACAGTTGGGGTGGTATTTTACAACAGTAGCAGTCAATGCGTTTCTATTTTAATTTTCTTTAAGGTCACCATTTATAATTATTATTAGCAACCTGTCTTTTTAATCTGTTATTTATGCAACTTCAAAAAAGCGGATACTTTGAAAATCTTTATCCAAAATGAAAACCCGGTTACATGGAAACAAATAGAGCCGATTTAGATGAATGAAAATGCTTATTGTTTAATTGCGTACCTGTCGCGTCTATTTACTTTGATTTATGTTTTTAATGCCACGTCCCTGTGGAATTCTTATATTACCGAGATCTTATTTGAAAATAGATTAAGCTAATACCCCGTGGCCTAAGATTAATCTATTAATATGTCAGTGAAAAGAACTTCGTAAATAAAGCTTTATTGATTATATTACCATATTCAAATTGATTAATTCCGTATTATTTGTTAGAAATAATGGAATTTCGCGAGCCATTCAAACATATTGAAATGTACACGGAAACTCTGAAGTGGTGACAGTAAAAAATGTTTGTTGTAGAGATAAATACATAATATTGTGGTTATAAACAAATATGTGGATGAATTTTACGGTAAGTATTAGATTTCATGTCGTCCGTTTCAAGTTTCGGATTAAATTTCATAAATATATATTAATCAAATTATTCAAATAACTGTCAGTTAACTGTCAATTACATGTTTTGTTTTCTAATTTGATATTATTACACAAATCAAAATGCGGATTACCGTGGCTTCTTTCCCAAGCATTTAATCACATTAAATCACGAAGTAAGTTTGAAATATTAATTAAAAGATAAAAGAGAATGATACGTGCAATTCCGAATAAATTACAAAAAATCATAACTGATATGTGTTAAATAAATAAATAAATAAATAAATAAATAAGAGATTGTTTTTGTCAATTGTCATGCATTATAATTGTACTGATATTTTTGATCTTCATTTCGTCGATTAGACAACTGAAAGAACGCATTTGTTATCAGTAATTTGTTCAGTGTTTTTTGCTCTTCAATAGATGTTATTATTCTATAAAATTAATTTAGTTCATAATTATAGAGAAGCAAAAACATGACAATTCTTACTCTATCAAATGCAAAAAATTATGTTTCACTATAAGTTATATATATATATATATATATATATATATATATTAAGAAATACAGGGAATGGCTTACAGTGAGTGATATAAAATGAGTGGTTATAGTGAGTGATATACAGTGGTTGATAAACAGTGTGTGATATTATCACCGTGAATTTAAAATGCACAGTGATTGATATGCAGTGAATGTTTGAAAGAGTTAATAACAGTGAGTTACATACAGTGAGTGATAAAGTATTTAGTTATATTCAGATAGTAAAACATGTAAAAAGTAAGTTATATACATTGAGTGATGTAAAGTAAGTTATATACAGAGATTGATGTAAAGTAAGTTATATACAGTGAGTGATGTAAAGAAAGTTATATACAGTGAGTGATGTAAAGTAAGTTATATGCAGTGAGTGATGTAAAGTAAGTAATAAACAGTGAGTGATGTAAAGTCAGTTATCTACAGTGAGTGATGTAAAGTAAGGTATATACAGTGAGTGATGTTAAGTAAGTTATATACAGTGAGTGGTGTAAAGTAAGTTATATACAGATATTGATGTAAAGTAAGTTATATACAGTGAGTGGTGTAAAAAAGTTATATACAGTGAGTGATGTAAAGTAAGTTATATACAGTGAGTGATGTAAAGTAAGTTATATACAGTGAGTGATGTAAAGTAAGTTATATACAGTGAGTGATGTAAAGTAAGTTATATACAGTGAGTGATTTAAAGTAAGTTATATACAGTGAGTGATGTAAAGTAAGTTATAAACAGTGAATGATATAAAGTAAGTTATTAACAGTGAGTGATGTAAAGTAATTTATAAACAGTGAGTGATGTACAGTAAGTTATACACAGTGAGTGATGTAAAGTAAGTTATATACAGTGAGTGATTTAAAGTAAGTTATATACAGTGAGTGATGTAAAGTAAGTTATATACAGTGTGTGATTTAAAGTAAGTTATATACAGTTAGTGATGTAAAGAAAGTTATATACAGTGAGTGATGTAAAGTAAGTTATAAACAGGGAGTGATGTAAAGTAAGTTATAAACAGTGAGTGATGTGTAGTAAGTTATAAACAGTGAGTGGTGTAAAGTAAGTTATAAACAGTGAGTGATGTAAAGTTAGTGATAAACAGTGAGTGATATAAAGTTAATGATAAACAGTGAGTGATTTACTATGAATGATGTTGATAAACATGTATGTAGATAAAATCTCAAGAATAAAGTTCAGTATTTCATTCACGAGCGATAAAAAAGATATTTAATATTTTATTTCATAAAGTTTAATACAATCTCAATGTTATATTTAAGTTGTATCTCATTAAGAAGTATAAGATAAAATTGTTTTTGTATGTAGTAAGATGAAAATATATGTTTTACGTATAGTTTGATTCTTTTTCAGAATATTGACCATTAAATATTGAAAGAATAGAATACAATCATACATATCGACAATGCCTCCTGCAACCGGACTTCAGTTCTACCGAAAGAAGCAGACGATAGATCAATTAGCGCTCGAGCGTCCCCAGTCTTTGCCTATTTTTAGGTCATGTGTTCTCAAAGCTTTAGTAGCTGTTGATCGTCGAATTGATCTTCTGCAACAGTCTTACTATGGTCCCGAAAACGACATTGAACAAGAGATTAAGCGATGGCTCGGGCCACTTTCAAAAGTTCTGAAAGAAAGCAAAATAACCTACTTATTATGCAAAACACAGCTTGACGATGCTGTAGCAAAATTTAAAAGGTCCGAGGGAGATCCAACGATGGTTGTTGACTTCGACAAAGAAGCTATAAGAACAGTTATTGACATTGTCGAAAGAGTTACTCAGTATTTGAAAACGGGATTTGCGGATATTATCCGAGACCTGAAAATTATAAGTGAATATATGTGGAAATATTGCCTGAGTTTTTCATCGAAGGAAGGAGATTTGTACCTTGACACCGCTGTTAATTATGAACGCCAACGACAAGAGTTTTCCGAGGCAATTAATTTTAACTTGGATGATATAATAAACATGGCGGAACAGTTCGAAACAAAAGGAATGCAGATACAGGAACTTGGTTTTGTCGCACGTGATCTTGCAGCACGTTGCAAGGCAGCGCACGCGCCCTTCTTAGTTATCATACCGCAGGCGTTTGAAAACTTACGACATGTAGTTACGGGAATGAGAAAATGGATTGAAGCAGACGAAGGTTACTCTGATTTTATTAAATTTGACATTGACGAAATGGAAATAAAGAGAGATAATCAGGACAAAATTGTACGTGACATGCAAATAAAGTGTTCAAATTGTGACCATAAGTTAAAAACGGCCAAACGTTATCTAGTCGACATAACAGCTGAAGTGAATAGTTTTAAGAACCGGGAAGCTTTGTTGACAAAGGAAAGGGACGATTTGATATCTGAAAATAAAGATGTACTAGTTGACCTCGATATAAAAGTGTTCCGAAAAGAAGAAATGAAGGCTAGACTCGATACACTTTCGGATTTTGAACTAGAAAAGTTTCATCAGCTTGATAGTGAAATCGAAGAACTGAATGAAAAGAAGCCACAGATTGAGAAAAAACTGCATGATCTGAACAAAAAACTGGAACTTATCCGAGATCGAAAAGACACCATGTCAAAACGCCAACATGAGGTTGAAGATGCTACTGGTAATTATTATATTTTATACTTAGCTTGTTGAATTGTAACAGTGTTGAATTGTAACAGGATATATCAAAATCGTACTGCATGTAGTAAACTTAATTAACGTGTATATGACAGGAGCAAACAATTTTGTCAACGCAGTGGTGTTAAAGTAAGTTCTAGTATAAGGTACGGAAATTGGCAGTTATTCCTGGCGGAAAGTGCCAGACAAAAATATTCCAAAACAGTAACATTCGTTTTTGATTAATATTCGTGCAAAACGGACGTTTGCTAAGTCTTGGTAGTTACTTTAATAACAACAGCAGGGGATCGAACTCGGAACCTATTGTAAGACAGTGTTACCACTTGATCTGGTAACACGTTGTTACCACTGAATTTAGTAAGACATTGTTGCCACTGAATCTGGTCACACGGTGTTACCATTGAAACTGGTCAGACAGTGTTATCACTGGATCTGGTCACACGGTGTTACCATTGGATCTGGTCAGACAGTGTTACCACTGGATCTGGTCACACGGTGTTACCATTGAAACTGGTCAGACAGTGTTGCCACTGAATCTGGTCACACGGTGTTACCATTGAAACTGGTCAGACAGTGTTACCACTGGATCTGGTCACACGGTGTTACCATTGAAACTGGTCAGACAGTGTTAACACTGGATCTGGTCACACGGTGTTACCATTGAAACTGGTCAGACAGTGTTACCACTGGATCTGGTCACAGGATCTGGTCACACGGTGTTACCATTGGATCTGACCAGACTGTTATCACTGGATAATTTCAGGCAGTGTTATCACAGGGTCTGGTTAGACAGTGTTACAAATAATACTTTATTGTGCATTCATTTTAATGTTATAGCATTCCTATTCATATCAAGTTGCATATAACACAAACATAACATCTCTAATTTTAGTAATTTAGTTAAATTCTTCTCAAATAATCTGGCAACATTATCAATATAACCTCCAAAGATAAACTTTTGTTTACAACTAATGATATTTTTGACTCTATAGATACAAACCAACCTTTTCAGGTAACAGTCAATAGTGTTTTGTCTGCTTCGGTTGTTTCAAATCAATAACAGAACTGAACAGAAATTATTTCTACAATACAAATTTTAAATATAACAAATTGCTAAACCCATGATGTTATTCAAAGTACAGTATTGAATGTCATTATACGAAAAACTAAAGTTTGTAGATTAACATAAGGGAATGTTTCCCATATATAAGAACACAGACCACTCTTGGTGGTAAGACAGGGTTTATGTGCCGTAATACGTCACGGAACAAAAACAAATGCGCGCGGTTGTTTAATACTCTATTTTTTACGAATCTAATACACAGTTACAAAATCCATTATAACAACCGCATAATGATAGTTGATACTTATAAACATTAACAGACAATTGGTTTTTAATGATAATACATGTACACAAAGTTACCCAATTTTTACCTTACCAAACATGGTTATTATATTAATTATAATGAGGGGAAGAAAACCCAAAAAGTTCCAAAAGTGTGTTAAAGTTTATATTTCGCGTAAAATAAATATTTAAAGTTCATATATTCTTTATGAAAATTGCAGTTTAATTTCTTTGTAAACACTGCATTTAGTATTCCTAACAAACATTTCAGTAAGTATTCCTTATTGATGATACACTTAAACAACAGTTAGTATTCCTTAAAACAACAACAACAACAACAACAAAATACAAAACAAAAACAAACAAAACATTACGAATTGCAGTTTTGATAAACATTACAGTTTGTATTCCCCATAAACACTTCAGTCCGTACTTCGCTTTAACATGATTAAAAAATGAAATATGATATTTTTTTAACTATTGAACAAGAACCTTTTTTCAGAATGAAGGGGTGTTGCGCTTTTCGGAAGGTTAAGTGAGGACAAAAATAATGCAAAAATGTCACCATATCCTTCTTTGAAAACATTTACTAATTCATAACATTCAATAATTTTATGAATGAACGACAGTCGATATAATTCACGTAGAAGAAATGTCTATTAGCGATTGTTGAAGTTCATTATGATATGTATCTTAAACAAACCAGTGTAACGGAAATCTATAAAGTTGTACTTTAAGGGTGCATCAGCATTAATCATGTCTAAGTAATATGAGATTAAAGTATTCTTATAACCACTTATAACCATATCTCTCTGTAAACAGCATAGTTTCGTCGTATATGATAATATATTCTATCATTTCCATTGAACGAGTGATATATTGACATATTGAGGACACAATAATACCATTATCTTATTACACCAATATTTCGTTAAAACTCGGTAGACTTCGCCACTTTCCGTGCCTTATAAAATGCTTGACAGGATCGTGCTCCTGGGCATCGCAATCTTTACTTGCGGAGAAGGCCAAGATGCTGAGAAAAATGGTTACCGGTATTCACACCTATTGATTATGCCTGTTTTCCACAAAAACGAAAATTATAACATAGTGACTGTAATAAACAGAGCTGTTACTCATCATCATCATCGTTTTTATTACATTTGAACAAGCATATGCTCAAGATAATCTCTTGCGTTTCAGTTGAAGTCCGGAAGATAAAGAAACAGTTTAGAAAAAGTGAAGTAGAATTAGAACGTCTCGACGCTAATCTGTCAAGACTTAAAGAAATATATAGATACAAAACAACGCCCGAAATATTGAAAAAGATCTTCCATGGCATGCCTTTAACAGCTAGACACGTTGTCAACAAGGGAAAACGACCTATTATGGGTAAAATTGAATTGAATTTCCTTCCGTGATTTTTCTCCTGTAAATTTGAAATATGTCCAATTTCTATTTATGTAATATACATCATAATGAACAGTATGCGACTAGCAAAATAAACTTTTGTTAACAAGACAATGTTTCACAGATAATGCAATACCCCATGGCATGACCGTTCATTGACGCCAGCTTGTACTATATCTTTAATATTAGATGCCAACTTCGCCATCTCCCCCCCCCCCCCGACAAAAAGTTGATAGCGAGAAATGCTGAATGGATTCAACAGTTAATTTTCCATGGCTTAAAATAACTGAGTGTTTAAAGAACATGTATTTTATATTAAGGTCTTTGTACTTATAGAGATCAATAAATTCAGCTACTTTTTTGTCAAACTTGCAGCGTTCGCAAATGATCATAATTTCACATTTAAATTAGTCGAAATTGTATTATAATGAAGATCGGTCTATGGATAAGAAAGGCATTCAGTGGGGAACTAAATTTCTAGACAGCTCTCATTTCCGTGTCTGATTTCAGATAAACTGGAGAGGTGCTGTAAAATAACTGCATCATATATCGATACTGATTGGACAAGACTGTACCAGGTTTTACCTTTCCATCCTGCACGAGGTGAACAAACCATCCTGAAAGACGTGGACGAGATCAGCAAGGAATATATGCGACATATAGCAGAAGAGAAATGCAGGTAAAAGTTCAAAAGATGGTATAAATATTGCATGAAGATCATATTAATGTGAGGATCATCGAGTTTTGAACTATTCATGTATTCATTGATATACTTATTAAAGTAATTGCAGCTGGTATTAGACCTCCGCCAATGGAGTGTCATCTAACCCTAGTGGGCGAGAGTTCGAATCTTTAAGGTAACTTCTATACTGGTGCTTTGCTAGAAATGCATAGAGTTTTATAGGAGCGTTGTGCGTGCCAGCGTTAAAGGTGACTGTCTCTCAAACAAGGGGTCGTGGGTACGAGTCACATCCGGGTCAACACCATGTTTCCTCATATGCTAATTAACACTAATAAGTCGTAAAAGCAGACTGGCAATTAAGTTATTAATTCCAAGTTGCAAAAACTTGTCTTTACAATCAATCTTAGATGCATATTCAGACTTAACATTAAAGATCGTGTAACTCATTTTTCTATGGGCTTTATATCATAAATATAATGCTCAAATGAAGATTTATCAATATTGTAAGTTTCAAAAAGAATTATTATATTTTGTAAAGATATTACCGAATTTACATTTTCCTGTTAATAAAGGGAGGTAATTAGAAATTTATTTTCTGTTAAGTCTAAGTCAAATTTTTCAATAAGAAATGAACGCATACATTTCAATGATAACATACATGTATAATGTGGAAAATATTTGCAGTACATATTTTACATATTATTCGATGTAGAAAATTGTTTTAGAAGCATAGTTATATGCATTATATAAAATTGCAATTAAGTGTGGCAACAACCTTAATTACAACATACAGGATCTTTGAACTGAACTTACTAAAGGCCATCATAGCAGCGCTTCGTGTAGTACAGCTTTAGGTGCCAACATTCAGTAAGCTAGCTTAAATAATGTTGTGTTTTTGTTTGATTTAACATTCTAAATATTTCCATACTGAATTAACTTCAGGCAAGGTTTATGGAGATGGAGAAGAATGCATACTCGCGCAAGCGTAGAAGACCTGAAAAAAGCTCTACTTTCTATCAAGCGGAAGGATATAGTTGAAGCAATAGATGAGGATATAGTTCGCAGGGCAAGCAAGCCCAATATTCCTTCGCCTGCATTCAGAACAATTAGATTCCCTAAATTAAAAGCAAATACTTGAAAAGAGACGATTGTGCCGGTACATCACTGTAGTGGGAAAAAATCTTGAAATACACTAACCTAGCTAAAATGTTATTATAACAATCCTTATGTTTTTTAGTCAAGAAAGATATCATATTGTTGTCAAATAAAAATATCCATCATTTACATGTATCACGGCAAACATTTGATTAACGATAGGTACATAAGCAGTTGGCGAGTCTGAAATTTCGGACTTGGTATAAACGAACAAAATTTTTTCAATAGCAAATGGGAACACGTTATTTTAACGTGCAGTTTTGGTAAACTATGAATTCTACAGTAGGATTTTAGTAAAGTATTCAATGTTTCTTTTTCAACCGTTGTTTATTTTATCCATCAATACTGTAATTTGAAATTATTCTATAAAGGATAAATTCATTGAATTATTTCCTTTCATAAATAGTTCTGGAATATGCTACACTTCAAGTATGACATTGACCTTTAAGAAATGGTCATGGATACTCAATAGCAACCAGATGTCTTTATGCATTGCTGTCTAAGTAGTGCATTTATAGGATTTAATTTCCTGAAATTCGCAAGTTCTAATTTGCCCAAAATTAACATGATTTATTGCCCGCAAATTTCACTAAGCTCTCTAAAGACGTTGACAATTGAAGAAGCCATTTTGATTTTGTGATCGACATATATAATGTTCCAAAAAAAATGCGAACTTATATGCATGGCAAAATAAAGCCCGATCAAGTAAAACAAGAAACATGGCAATGCTATGAAACCAGGTTTTCAATTATCACCATTGTAGATAAATATGTTGTAGTTAAAATACAAACACAAGCAACAAAAAATGTAACTATGTGCAATGTAAATCATGAATAATGTAGGAGGAATTGCGTACAGAGGTAATTGTTCACTATATATTCTATATAAAGAAAAAACAAAGGGCCATAATTAGGTCAAAAATTATCCAATCACAAAACCCTGACAATATGCGCAAGTGCACTTGATGACAAAGGTTCTGTGAAAGTATGGTCAAAATCCGTTGAGAAATGTAGGAGGAGTTGCGCACAAAGAAATTGTTAACTATATCTTCTACATAAGGGAAAAAAACAAAGGGCCATAATTAGGTCAAATATTATCCAATCACAAAACCCCGACAATATGCGCCAGGGCACTTGATGACAAAGGTTCTGTGAAAGTTTGGTCGAAATCCTTTGAGAAATGTAGGAGTTGCGCACAGAAGAAATTGTTCACTATATATTCTACATAAGGAAAAAAAACAAAGGGCCATAATTAGGTCAAATATTATCCAATCACAAAACCCCGACAATATGCGCCAGGGCACTTGATGACAAAGGTTCTGTGAAAGTTTGGTCAAAATCCATTGTGAAATGTAGGAGTTGCGCACAGAAAAATTGTTTACGCCCGTCCACCGACAAACCTCAATATAATAACCAGTTTTTCCCTGCGGAAAGTCTGGTTAAAATGTGGGAATGTTGTTTTCTTATAAAATGACGAATAGATAATATCATGAGAATTTCTTTTCTTTCTACTTTTATTTAAACCATTATGGTAACATCAAACCATCACAAAATGTACAAGTGTTGAAATCTGCTTGCAACCATTCCACATCTGAAATAAAATAACACGAATTTCTATACATGCATTTCGTGATATTTGTGAAAATACTGAGATAATTCAATGGACATCACATAATAAAAACTTTTATTATATACTTATAAATGAAATATTGAGAAATATTGAGAAATATTGATGAAATAAAATGCGTATTTTCATTTTCCGTATTTTCACTGTAAAAATTTATTTTTCACTGCAGTGAAACATATTTTCCGTATTTTCACTGGTGTCTTGCCGGACTACTTTCTTTTAAATTCTACCAGTACACAAAATTTAAGGGAAAGTTTTTCAAATTTTATCGCAAAAAAGAGAAAAATGTACATAATAAACAGAAAATTCAAGTTTTTTCTATAAATACATGATTTATTTTCATCTTGTGGCATGAAAATTACCATAATTCAGACGTGGCTACCGCCACTCATGAAATATTTATTTTCATACCACTCGATGAAAATAAATCATGTATTTATAGAAAAAATTTGAATATCCTCTATATCTACAATTATTAGATGTGATATATCTTTGGCATAAATTATAATGTGCTTCTTTATACATTCTATAAACGTTGTTCAGTCTCAGTAAATCCACGTACATGCACTATAGCCAGGAGTTACATACATGTAGTACAGTAAGTATTTTGACAAACACAAAGTATACAAAAACAACGGCAGAAGCCACGTTTTGATGAGTGCAAGTACAAAATAAGTAAAAACTGTTACATACTGTTTAGGCTTTCTGGTGATCTAGCAGTCCCATCACATATAATACAGGTTCTGTATTGTACTCCATGTACAGGCAGCAAACTTTTACAACACATATCTGAAATATATATAAACTGTATAACTAACGTCCAAACAAAATGTTTGAATTTCATTAGTGAAAACGATACCATAAAGGTCAAGCTTACTGCTGGAAAAAGGCCATACATACCCCTCTGGTAGCCTTGATGTTTGGCTTGTCGATTTTATGACATTTACATATGAAAACTTATCGGCACCTTTAGCTCTTTAAATAAGAATATTTGAGCCGTGTCACGACAAAACCAACATAATGGGTTTGCAACCAGCATGGATCCAGACCAGCCTGCGCATCCGCGCAGTCTGATCAGCATCCATGTTGTTCGCTATTAGTTTGTCTACTTGTAATAGGGTTTGTAAGCGAACAGCATGGATCCTGATCAGACTGCGTGGATGCGCAGGCTGGTCTGGATCCATGCTGGTCGCAAACCCATTATGTTGGTTTTGTCATGACACGGCTCATTTGCTTTGATACTAAGACAATGAAAACATTGTCTAATGAAACAGATACATTTGGATCTTGATGACTTTGGGTTTTAGTTTCTGAGATATTTGCAGTTTGGACTTTACTGATACTTTTAGTTTTTTTGGACTTTGCATTTGGATACTTGGTGACTGTTGCTTTTAAGTTTTTGAGACACTTGCAGGTGTCCTTGTTAACTTGGCTTTTTGTTTCTGTTACAATTGCATGTTGAACATTGGCTTTTAGTTTCAAAGACATTTGCATCAGCAACCTTGGTGATATATGAGCCGCGTCACGATAAAACCAACATAATGGGTTTGCGACCAGCATGGATTCAGACCAGCCTGCGCATCCGTGCAGTCTGATCAGCATCCATGTTGTTCGCTATTAGTTTGTCTACTTGTAATAGGGTTTGTAAGCGAACAGCATGGATCCTGATCAGACTGCGCGGATGCGCAGGCTGGTCTGGATCCATGCTGGTCGCAAACCCATTATGTTGGTTTTGTCGTGACACGGCTCATATGGTTTTAGATTGTGTGATATATTTATACTAATGTATTATTTAATTATTAATACAAGAAACTAGTATATAAATAGATAAGATATTATTTAGTACCTAAACAATCAAAAGTAAACAAGTAAAATTTACCAAATAAATGTCCATTGTCACAAAACCATCTAGAATGGTTCATATTGAGATCTGTTTGTTGTTAAGGATTTCAGCTAAATTGTCTAACAGCTTTGAATTTTTAAGTGTAAGATATTAATTAAAAAAATTCAATATTCAATAAAAGATTTTGAAAAAAAACTGTGGTCAAACTGTGTGTCTGACTGCATTAATTCTACTTGCATAACCCATCAATTTTCTGATACCTGAAAACAATTAACAAGCATAGAATTTTTTACCACAGATACATATGTAAAGGAAAGTTTTATCAAATATCTATTTTTTGACCAGTTATTATTGACATACATGTATTCAGTATATAGGTATCACAGTACATATTGTGACAGTAACAAGAGCTGTCGGTAGGACAGCAACGCTCGACTATCCTTAGTGCTTGATAGTTAGAAAAAAATGCTTGATACAATTACCTCCTGCTGTTTACAGGTTGGGGTAATGATGGTGAACAAGTGTGCAAAGTTTCAAAGCCATATGTCAATGGACTTTGAAAATATTTGAACTATTACAAAAACTTTAACGTAAATTCTAAGTCGAAAAAGGGGCATAATTCTGTCAAAATGCTTGATACAGTTACCTCCTCCTGTTTACAGGTTGGGGTCATGATGGTGAACAAGTGTGCAAAGTTTCAAAGCCATATGTCAATGGACTTTGAAAATATTTGAACTATTACAAAAACTTTAACGTAAATTCTAAGTCGAAAAAGGGGCATAATTCTGTCAAAATGCTTGATACAGTTACCTCCTCCTGTTTACAGGTTGGGGTCATGATGGTGAACAAGTGTGCAAAGTTTCAAAGCCATATGTCAATGGACTTTGAAAATATTTGAACTATTACAAAACTTTAACGTAAATTCTAAGTCGAAAAAGGGGCATAATTCTGTCAAAATGCTTGATACAGTTACCTCCTCCTGTTTAAAGATTGGGGTCATGATGGTGAACAAGTGTGCAAAGTTTCAAAGCCATATGTCAATGGACTTTGAAAATATTTGAACTATTACAAAAACTTTAACGTAAATTCTAAGTCGAAAAAAGGGGCATAATTCTGTCAAAATGCTTGATACAGTTACCTCCTCCTGTTACAGGTTGGGGTCATGATGGTGAACAAGTGTGCAAAGTTTCAAAGCCATATGTCAATGGACTTTGAAAATATTTGAACTATTACAAAAACTTTAACGTAAATTCTAAGTCGAAAAAGGGGCATAATTCTGTCAAAATGCTTGATACAGTTACCTCCTCCTGTTTACAGGTTGGGGTCATGATGGTGAAAACAAGTGTGCAAAGTTTCAAAAGCCATATGTCAATGGACTTTGAAAATATTTTGAACTATTACAAAAACTTTAACGTAAATTCTAAGTCGAAAAAGGGGCATAATTCTGTCAAAATGCTTGATACAGTTACCTCCTCCTGTTTACAGGTTGGGGTCATGATGGTGAACAAGTGTGCAAAGTTTCAAAGCCATATGTCAATGGACTTTGAAAATATTTGAACTATTACAAAAACTTTAACATAAGTGGTTACGCCGACGCGGACACCAACGCCGACGCCGACGCTCGGGTGACTACAATTGCTCTACTTATTCTTATCGAATAGTCGAGCTAAAAATGTGAAAGGATACCAGAATTACAAACATAACATTTCATTTCACATTTTTTATCTGTGAGAATATTCCCAAGCTGTAACTTAGTATCATCAATACCCTCTACATCATTGACTCTGTCTATGTGCTGATTCAGCCATGTATACATGCTGTACACTACAGCTAGACCTGTCCCTGAAATATAAACACTATTGTCACTACGTATGTCAAGGATACATTACTAAGTTAATTCTTCATGACATGTTCTCTTTATAGCTGCATGTGAAAGAGTTGTATCACATTTATTTTATTTCATAAGTTAAAACTGCAATGAGTCTATTACAATATCAAAGTTCAATGATGAGATAATGATTTTACAACTATGGCATCCTGTTGAATGGTACAATGTAAATCTTATTTTGTACAGCTTATAATCAGACAGGGTACTGTGCAAAGGATGCTATGCAAATCCACAACTTTGAAAAAAAGAAATCTGTGATACCTTTTTTGTTCGCTTCTGGTATTCATATACTAAAATCTGAAAATTTAGAGTTCCAACCGTCAAGCAGAGCAAATCTCTTAAACAAAGTGTGTCTGAAAAAGGTTAAAGAATATATTTATATTACCTTTGTTTGAATCTGACAAAACCTTTTCCACCTCAATGCTCGCCACACATTGTTGCATAGACACTGCCAGGATCTTACACCTTAGGTCAATTGTTTCTTTCTCTAGTTCTTCTATAAGTTCCTCCTGATCGTACTATATATGTAAATATAGATAAAATATATGGAATAATATACAGTAAAACTTCTGTACATCAGCACACTGTAAAGCAATAACCTCTTTATAACAATACTTAAATTTCTTTCCAAATGTAAGAATCTCTATAGAGCATCTGCTACATCTTGTAGGAACAACCTAAATTTCTTACCTCCCCAAGTATGAATGTTCCTATGGTGAGGTTTAAATGTAAGGAATATAACACAAATTGACTTCCGAGAAACTTAAAAGTTTTATTTTTCAAGTATATTTTTAAAAATAATAAAGTAGATATTATAAAGATAAAAAGTTTATAATAAAATAGGTGTAACTCTCAGCCAGCATGTCTGCTATATACAGGTGAGCGACTTCAGGGCCATCATGGCCTTCTAGTTTAATTGTGATATCAAATCAGAATTAGCTTATGTTATCTTATTATTGTTTTGTTTATGTACATTTACATTTAATGTACTGATATTTATTTTATGTAATTGTATGCCTGAGAAGGCCCATGATTGGTAATAAACACTATTCTATTCTATTCTTCTATTCTTGTCTGCAATTTCAGTCAAATGTCTGTAAACTAACATGCATTTATCATTCCTGGAACCAACCAGTACTAAGCAATTAATGTAAAGTTTCTTTCTTCTGTGAACCACAGCCTGCCCCTGGCAGCTGAAATAAAATACTTTAACAAAACTAGCTCTGAATTCCAACAATACAAATTTTATTAATACATCAAATTAATAAAAAACATAAAAAACTTACATTTTTTTCTTTATTGTATCTGTGCTTAAGCTTAGCTGCATATCTAGAGAAGGAAAACTGGCAGTTAGAAATCAGGAAAAAGATTCATACAGGACCAACACAGTCCTATACATAACCATTAAGATTTTATACACAGAGGTGCTGTTTGTAAGACAGATTGCTTAACTTTACCCAGTACTTGACAGTAAGAAAATGGGTATAACTCTGTAAGAAAGATAACTCAGAGTGATGGGACCTGTGCCTATTATGTTAAATAATCAGTGTGAAGTTGCAACCCATCCCCTTTAGTAGTTTTGGAACTTACTACCTTGAATCAAAGTGTGACAGTGATGCCAACACTGATGCAGACAATACGGGTGAGTACAACAGCTCTTGCGATTCTTTGAAAAGTCAAACTAAAAATTATTTTTTTAACAGGTAAACCACAATGTATTTTAGATTATATAATAAATGGTACGAAAGATTTATATAAAGGAAGAGATCTTATTTCATAATTGAACTTGAATAAATACAGTTTAAACTACTAAATTACAAAATAAATAAATGTAAGTTCATGAAAATGTTAAAAATGATTACTTTATATGAAATATACCTTTAAATGCGCCTTATAAACAGCAATTAAAGAATTCATAACAGTAAAAAGAATTCTGTAAATTTTCATGGAATAAACTATTGAATGAAAAATGAAATTTAATCTAGCAAGTTGATGTAAGTTGTGAAAAAGCCATAGACATTAATACCTTCTGAGTTTTTGTCTTCTGAGACACTGTTTACCTGTGTCATCTACTGTCTCAATATCCTTACAGTTTTTACTCAACACATGTTGACGAAACAGTTCTAATACATCATGTAGATCACCAATAGAACCTTTCAAGTAATGCAATAAAATCAATAATTCTCTGTACAGTATATGAATACATTCAACTGAATGAACATCCTTGGTTAACCTTGACCTTTCTAACAAGAGGGCCATGATGGCCCTGAGGTCGCTCACCTGTATATAGGCCCCCCCAACCCCCACCCCACCCCCAAAGTTGCAGAGCCAATTTAACCCAAGGGCTTTTATTTGCACAAACTTGGTAGACACCCATAAGAAGATGTTTTCATGCTAAACATTTAAGCTCTAGATCATTGGGCTTTTTTAAAAGAAGATTTTTTTTAAAGTTTTTACTATACACATATAGTTAAAAACAATGACACCCCTGGGGCCAGGCCAGTTTTGACCCCAGGGCTTTTTTTTGAACAACTTTTGTAGACACTTACTAGAAGATGTTTCATGCTTAATATCTAAACTCTAGCTATTTGGGTTTTTTCAAAGAAGATTTAAAGTTTTTGCTAAACACATAAAAAGAAAATCAATGACCCCCGGGGCGGGGCCAATTTTGACCCTGGGCTTTTATTTGAACAAACTTGGTAGACACCTATTAGAACATGTTTGATGCTCAATATCTTAGCCATAGCTCTTTGAGTTCTTTAAAAGAAGATTTTTAAGTTCTTACTATATGCATATAGGGAAAATCAATGACCCCCCGGGGCGGGGCCAATATTCACCCCAGGGCTTTTATTTGAACAAACTTGGTAGACACCCATTAGAACATGTTTCATGCTAAATATCTTAGCTCTAGCTCTTTGGGTTCTTTAAAAGAAGATTTTTTAAGTTTTTACTATATGCATATAGGGAAAATCAATGACCCCCCGGGGCGGGGCCAATTTTGACCCCAGGGCTTTTATTTGAACAAACTTGGTAGACACAAACTAGAAGATGTTTCATGCCAAATATCTAAGCTCTAGCTCTTTGAGTTCTTTAAAAGAAGATTTTTAAGTTTTTACTATATGCATATAGGGAAAATCAATGACCCCCTTGGGCGGGGCCAATTTTGACCCCAGGGCTTTTTTTCGAACAAACTTGGTAGACACCCATTAGAACATGTTTCATGCTAAATATCTTAGCTCTAGCTCTTTGGGTTCTTTAAAAGAAGATTTTTTAAGTTTTTACTATATGCATATAGGGAAAATAAATGACCCCCCGGGCGGGGCCAATTTTAACCTAGGGCTTTTATTTGAACAAACTTGGTAGACACTCACTAGAAGATGTTTCATGCCAAATATCTCAGCTCTAGCTCTTTGAGTTCTTTAAAAGAAGATATTTTAAGTTTTTACTATATGCATATAGGGAAAATCAATGACCCCTGGGGCGGGGCCAATTTTCACCCCAGGGCTTTTATTTGAACAAACTTGGTAGACACCCATTAGAACATGTTTCATGCTAAATATCTTAGCTCTAGCTCTTTGGGTTCTTTAAAAGAAGATTTTTTAAGTTTTTACTATATGCATATAGGGAAAATCAATGACCCCCCGGGGCAGGGCCAATTTTGACCCCAGGGCTTTTATTTGAACAAACTTTGTAGACACTCACTAGAAGATGTTTCATGCCAAATATCTAAGCTCTAGCTCTTATGATTTTTTAAAAGAAGATATTTAAAGTTTTTTCTTTCGGTTGCCATGGCAACCAGAGTTTTGCATGTAATTAAATTCTTTGAACAATTTTTAAAGGTGACCACCAAAGGAACATTCCTGTGAAGTTTGGATGAAATTGGCTAAGTGGTTTATGAGGAGATGTCATTTAAAGTAAAAGTTACGGACGGACGACGGACGGACGCCGGACGAAAAGCGATCACAAAAGCTCACCCTGTCACTTTGTGACAGGTGAGCTAAAAAGAAAGTAAGAATTCTATGTTTCAATTTTCAGATGTCATTTTGCAACATTATTATTACTGTTGGTCAATATCAAATTTTAAACTAAGCAATGAGAAGCTAAAACACAGGAGTTTGAATGTCTATTAATAAATTAGAAAGTTTAAATATAAGACATGTGTATAGTTAAATAGCCTTACATTTTACTATCTTTTTGAGTCATTGATAGAATTTCATTTTTTTACATCATGAAATCTTATTGCACCTGATAATACATAAAGAGGATATTGAAAGAGTGTAGCTTTAAGTTGAATAAAATCATATTATGCTAGCCTCTGGCGAGCATAATATTGTTTTATTCAACATGTTCAATAAATTTAGTATTGGCTCGCATAGTATGATTTTATTCAACTCGTTCAATAAATCTAGTATTGAATCTACACAAATATAATATTTTATTTATCACATACAGTTTACAGTTAAAAAGAGCTTTTTTTCTTTGATGCGTCTATGCCTAACGCTAACTTTAACGCACTTTAACACTGTGTTTATTTATATAACACAAATGACGTCACATCAGTGTTATTACACTAGTGTAAAATGGTTTTTATTACATGACTTTATTACACTCCTGCGCAGAAGTTATGTGATAAAAGTGTACCGTATAATATACTGTTAAATGTGTCTATAAAGTCAATACCTGTATCATATTGTGATCTTTATTTGATAAACAAGCTGTTTTTATGCACAAATTTTAATATATTGCATACTAAATGTTGCAATTGAAAATACAGATTTTTTGACTGCTTAAAGATGCTCTTTTACAGCAAATGTAGTATGCTCAAAGGTGGTCTATAGCACAAATATGATTGTACTTTTGTTTAATATTTTAATCTAACTTACGTTCTGGGTTACATAGTTTTGTTACACAATTTTCCCGCCATTTGAGATCAGTGGTAAAGTCATCAATACATCTGATATTTAATCTGGTAGCTGTTTTCTTCCACTGTGGTGAGAGATGATCAAATCCTGGTTTTGGCCTGTTGAAGTATTTACCAACATTTGAGCCGCGTCACGACAAAACCAACATAGTCCGTTTGCGACCAGCATGGATCCAGACCAGCCTGCGCATCAGCGCAGTCCGATCAGAATCCATGCTGTTCGCTGTCAGTTTCTCCACTTGTAATAGAGTTGGTAAGCAAACAGCATGGATCCTGATCAGACTGCGCTGGGCTGGATCCATGCTGGTCACAAACCCATCATGTTGGTTTTGTCATGGCACGGCTCATTTTTCTTATAAGAATATTTCTAGAGAAATATAAGGTAAACAAAGTTGTTAAATGAGAGTTTTCCTTCACCCAAATTGTCTTTTCTAAGTATTGTCAGCTTTTTGTTTGTCACTTCAACCATCAGAAACTTTCACAAGCTTTAGATCATAATTATAGCCAGAAAATATAGAATATTTAGAGAAACATTTTTTTCTGCAATAAGTACATGTAGTTTAATTCCCTTCTCTGACTGTGACATAAATTCACCTTAACATCTTTTTAAAAACAAGATATGTTCATTACACAGCTTGTTAGACTTTTCTCAGTGATTGATATTATTGAAAGGGTCATAACTCTGTAAAAAGGTAACTCCGATTTATATGACCTGTGCCTATCATATTAGATAACCACAGAGAACAAGTATGTGAAGTTTCTACCATTGAAGTTCTGAAGTTTTGGAGATACATCTTTGCACACAAAGTATTACGGTGATGCTGATGCCTGAATGAGTACAATAGCTCTCCCTATTCTTTGAATAGTTGAACTAAAAAGTGTTTATAGCAACAGTTTATTGTTAAGATGAAAATACATGTGGTAATAAATACCTGACTATGAAGGCTACTAAAACTTTGTTTGATGATACACAGAATCCAGGTGATATCCAGGAAGTTGACGTACTAAGGTCTAAATTGGCTTGCACTGCTGATAGTTGTATTTCTGGTGGGGGAAAAAAACAATAAAATAAACATATATTCAGTGTGTACTATACATTATGTTTTAAATTTCATTTACTGTTGGTATGTTGGTAGCAAACTTACCGTGGATAACTGTAACAATGATAACAATGTTAAATCACTAAGCACACATATTAAATGTATCCAATGTTAGGGTTTTTTTACAACCCAATGGTGTGATGCAACAGGGAATATTCTACATCTTCAAAACATGTTTCAGTTTACTAAATAACAATTCAAATATGACATGAAATTTAGATTTGATCAAGACTTGCATGCAGTATCTAGCATATAACTGTCTGTAAAACAAGTTTATTAATGGCATAAATAGGTTTAATGCAAATAAAATTGTAAATGCTACCTTTTTTATATAGCTTATAATTTTGTAATATAATAATATAATAATGCACATGTATTTAAAATACTCTTTTGCCAAAATGAGATAGCTGAGGCCTCTTCACAACTGCAATACATGCAGTGTTGACGTTTTTACCCTCAAGTTATCAGACTGAGAACTTAAATTCAAAGTGTAGCTGACAGAGGTAACAAACAACAAGTTACTTTAATCAAGTCCAATAATGGATTCCAACATTTTGCATTTTTTGTTTTAGAACTCCCTATTAAACAAACAGAACTAAAGTTAAATCTTGGAATGTCTATTATACAAGTTTGTTAGGGTGAAAGTCGAAATAAGAAAAGTTTATATACTGTTTTCATTTACTGATACTGTTATTTTCTGTAACATGGCATCCTGACTCATCATTAATACAGTATTATCATCTATCTCACACATTCCTGGAAATATACAAAACAAAACTTTATTACATTTTACTTATTGAAGACGAGTCAGGTAAGGTGTGTGGCAATGTTGGGGGTTAGATATTTTAATCATTCTGTCACTAATCAACCCTTACCCAGCTGGTGGAAACTGATTCTACTGAAGTGACTAGTGCAGACCATGATCACCAGAACATTCCCGCCCGTTTGATTATGGTTGGATGGATGTTAGTAGTTTACCCTCCTGTCAGATAGCAAGATGTATTCAATTCACCGCAGCACAGTAAAGCCACCACAGCATCTGCACTGTTTGCTATTCAGTATTGCTGTCAGTATATATTATGAATGTTTCACTAAAAAGGGTTGACAAAAATACATTTCAGATGCTTAGCATGGAAAGGGTTTATATACATGGTGTAGCATTTCAGTTTCACTGTTGGAAGAATATGATAAAATATTCATAATTTCCAGCATGGGAAATCTCATGTAATTTTAGCTTGATACCTTCCTAACATACAATAAGATTTAAACTTACAGCTGTAAGTGAGAGGTGATTCCAAGTGTAAGAATTACTCGGCCACATACTATAAAATTACTATCCACTTTTTGGAAATTTTACAAAATTTTTTTTTTTAAAACTTGACATTTAAACTGATATATACAGTACAGAGATAAAATAGGACTGCATTTACATTTGTCACCAGTATAGTCAGACCAGCCTACAGCATATCGGTGTGACCAGCCTCTATACTGGTGGTAGTTCAATTTTTTATATTTTAATTCTGAAATACCTTCAACTTTAAATGAACTGTTCAAAAACCAAAAACATGGAAAATCTGTTACCAAAATTTAGCCGATTATCGGTTAATACAGCACGTCATTTTCATGATAAATCTACATGCACTTTAGATAAGACAATAATATAAAAAAATATTTTTACAGACAATCGTTACTTAATTTGGCACAATTCTATTGCATTAAATAAGACAATGTTTTTATAAAATGAGTGCATGTACCTGAGGCAGATAATGTATTGTGTAGGAATATATGTGTTTGTGAGATGACATTATAATTATTGATATCCAGCTCAAATGCTAACAAACAATGTTCCTTGTTTACCAGTACCATATAAACTCCAGTCTGAAATATAACAAGCTAATAATAGTACTAGCAGACAAAGTGCTAATTCGTGTACACATTTCATTATAAATAAATACTAGTTAATACTATATTCATAAATAAATACTATTTAATACTATCTTTAGGTAAAAAAAACATTATCAAAATCTATTAAAACCTGAGATTCTAAGTGAATTTGTAGAATTTGAATAAGATTAACAAGAATACATAAAAATGTTTGAGAAACAGCATTCCATATTACTGGTCAAATTAATTTAACTGGTCCTTTAAAAAAAAAAAAAAAAAAAAAAAAAAAAAAAAAAAAAAAACCAAAAACAAACAACTGCCAGTTTTTAATTACTCTATGTATTCATATAATGTTTACCTATAATGTGAAGAGTTTAAAATGTAACATATCTTTTGAGTGTGAAGTCAAAATATGTTTATTCAACATATAAAAAGAGACTGTGTAGAAACTATCATTATCATTATTTTCAAATCATAATATATATTTTAAAGTTTTTACTTTGGAATGTTTACCATGGCTTTAATAAGATACTGTATTATCACTACAATAAAAGAATCCTATCTACAGCCCACTCCAGGAAAAACAAAAATCAATTCCAAGAATTAAAGAATTTATTTGCATTCTTGCTCCATGAAAGAAATCCCAGTATCTAATCTAGGATTTGAAAAAAAGGGGGGAATTTTCTCGAAAAGTGAGAATTTATTACATTTTCCTTCTTTCTTGATGCAAAAATTTCCCCCAGTCTCTGAAAAATAAGGGGGAATTCTCAAAAATATGAGTGAATACCCAATCCCCCTCCTAGAATAGACACTGTTATCCATGAAAGAATGACAAACTATGACTTTGGATAGACTCAGATGAGAAACACAGAAGTGATTTCTACATGTAATATATTCTAATCTTTGGTGGCATGAAATATCTAAATAGAGAATATTGAATGAGTGTGCGTTCAATACTAGATCTATTGAATAAGTTGAATAAAACTATACTATGCAGGCCTCTGGCAAGCTTTATATTATTATATTCAGCACGTCCAATAAATTTAGTAATGAACCTACATGAATGTATCATATACACAAAATAGAATTTTTACAGTATAAATAACTTATTTTCATTGACGAGCATTTTTATACTATGTTTGTATAACTTAAATGATGCCACATTAAAATACATTGTATGTGCACAACTGTGCAATAACGTTTTCAGAGTCACAAAAGCGGCACAGGGTATATGATAAACAATCAATTTTCATTAATGAATTTATTATACATGTACCTTTACTTTATGTAGCACACATAATGCTGACACCTTCATGAGGTCAGATTCACCATAAACACATGACCATGTTGGCTCTTTTGTTATATCTTCAGGACTTAACTTCAAAATATGTATCTGACCATCTAAATAACTTATTAATACAGCATCTGAAAATATAAAATGTTCAGAAATTTTGCAGAATTCAAAATCTTTATCATATAAAAGTAATACAATTGATTTGTCATACAGTCGACTCCACTTATAACGAACTCGCTTATAACGAATTATCGTTAATAGCGAACTAAATCTGACATCCCCGGCCGATTCCTTCTTTATTTTATATTAAATCACATCGCTTAATACGTACTCGCTTATAGCGAATTTTCGGCTATAACGAACCATTTTTCAAGCCCCAAATGACGGAAAACATGTAAATTTCCTCGGTTATAACAAACTGTTATAATTGAAATATCAGGATGCGCTCGAATAGGATCAGTACATGAATAACGCTATCCGATAATTAAACAATCGAATGACTGCACAGGTTAGTTATGGCTTCAGGCAATAAAGATTTTGATAAAATGTTCTCACAACATAATTTCCTACTTGTTACGGAAAATTTGTATTTCACACCCTCAGTTGATTGCTGTTAATACCCGATAATTGCCAAGTAATCGAATTTTTGTGTTTGCAATATTAACCAAACGATAATAAACAAATAGCAAAAGGAAACAAATGGTAATAACTTCATAGACAATTAATACATGAATAATATATTGCTCAATAAAATGCCCCGCATTAAATAACTGCTGCAGTAAAATACCAGTTACACCAGTAACCAGTGAAAAGTGTGGCTTTTTCACGGCAAATTTCCCCATCCAAACAAGTTAGGAAGTTGTTGCTACTTCGCTTTTAACGAACTTCGGATATAACGAACGATATTTTTATGTCCCATTGAGTTCGTTATAACCGGAGTCGACTGTAGTTTAATGATAAATGAAAAATTTGTTACAATATTTCGGTCATTATAGGTTATACCAAGAAAAAGAAATTTAACATAAAAACTTTAAAAACTGGAATACCCCCCTCAACTATCTTTCATAGTGTATAATGGACTTGTAATGGAGGAATACAATTTTTTATATTCTCATAAAGGAAACAAAAGTTCACACTCACTCAAAACACACTGTCTCACTCCATCCATTCATACATTATTTTCAAATCTATGTTTGTTTGAATAAGTTTTTACATCACACCAACACATTATAGGTCATATGGCAATGTTCCAGCTTTATTGAAGAAGAAAGACCTCAGGTGCACTTCTGTGCATTATTTCAAGCACAAACAGGCCCCTAAGTAGAACCATCGACATTCTGTAAAGTAGCTGGACAGCTTCCACACATGATAGAATCAAAAGTCCCTGTTAGGATTAGAACCCACAGCGGTGAGGAACAAATGGATTGAAGTCAACAACCTTAATCACTCCACCACATATGCCTCAAAAAAGAATGAAACTGTTGAGTTCTACAAACCTGATTGTGGACACCAAGTAAGACCAGAGATCTGACAGTCATATGGTTTAACTGTATATAGTACTGAACAGTCTGACCTATTAGATAAAAAAAAAAATCTTAAAAAATATAATCAATTCCTTAGAATACTAAATATATGTAGATTTTCTGTGCTTTGACTTTTGATCTCATTATTTTCATATCTTTTTTAAGGTGTTTTCTATATCAAAAAGCTTACATTAAACAGCCAATAGTATCGAGCATGTTACACTGAAAAGATGTCATAATTTGACACTGATATCATTCACTGGAACCATAAATGCCTAAAAAATCGTAAACAATCATTCAACATACCAACTAAGTACATAATAACTACGCTTGTTATATGGATAAAACTGGAATGAGCATTCACGACAAGCAAATTTCATAGGAGTTAACCCTTTACCTCATATATACGCAAAACAACGCACTTTCGACCCCACCCCCTCTCTTTTAGGCCTCAAATAGTGAAAAAATGTCCTATTTGGACCCCAAACACATGTTTTCATTTGAGAAATGTCGCTAAATTAAGTGAGCACTTTTACCGCGCAGCCCCCTTCCAAAAGATACATCAGGGGGTTGCCAGAAGGGGAATGTGCCCCCTTCTGTTTGGGGGGGTGCCAGAAGGGGTGCCGCAGTCCCCCTCATCGCCAAGAAAATTTTGGACTTGTGAGAGGCTAAAAATGACCCCAGGTCGATCATAAGTTAAAATGTAACCAAAGCTGAAAAGCCTTTGAATCTATCTCAATCAATTAAGGAGTTGCAGCACTTTGGAATCAATTTTGATGGAAAAAATCAAGGCAAAATAGTGATTTTTGGCAAGTTTGAGATGTCCCCTCGTTGCCATGGTAAAACAGGTGATGACATCAAACCTGTCATTATTAACGGGCAAAATAGCTTGTTTTTAATCACCAAATATAAATACATCATTTCTTTTTATTACAACAATATTCAATATATCTCTATTGAAAGGCTAGAGTTTATAAATTACATGTGAATTATCAATCTTGTTTCCAAATCATAGGAATCAGTATAGCTTACTTGTTTGGAGTGGGTATATTTATTCTCCACAGTGTTAAATGACCTGATTTCATCCCTGTAGCCAGCAATATATACTTCTGACCAGATTCTGTATCTGTATATACTTTGGTACCCCATTTCATAACTGAAGAAAATGTATACATGCATAATCACTAGTCAACATGTTATAAATGCTTGCAAAATTCACCTCACTTGTGTTTTTATTATTCAAATAAGTATTTATTTGGCCAGCAATACACCAAAAACAATGACAACAACAAAGATATAAAAAAAACCCAAACCAGCCATCTTTTCAATAAATGAAGACTACATTTGAATATGTTACTCAAGCTTACCATTGAAACATCTTTATTTTCATTTATTTTTGTAGTTTCTTTTGCATGTTGTCTTTCCTATTCAGAAGCTCTGGCGACATATTTTTTGTTCACATGTACATACAAATGAAGGTTAAAATTCACTTTCTCAAACAAATGTTTTGGAATTGTATGGGTATACCTGTATACCCCTAAAAACAAAAACACCCAAAAACCAAACAAGGACACTAACAAGAGCTGTCGGTAGGACAGCAACGCTCGACTATTCTAAGTGCTTGATAGTAAAAAAATGCTTGATACAGTTACCTCCTCCTGTTTACAGGTTGGGGTAATGATGGTGAACAAGTGTGCAAAGTTTCAAAGCCATATGTCAATGGACTTTGAAAATATTTTAACTATTACAAAAACTTTAACGTAAATTCTAAGTCGAAAAAGGGGCATAATTCTGTCAAAATGCTTGATAGAGTTACCTCCTCCTGTGTACAGGTTGGGATCAGGATGGTGAACAAGTGTGCAAAGTTTCAAAGCCATATGTCAATGGACTTGGAAAATATTTGAACTATTACAAAAACTTTAACGTAAATTCTAAGTCGAAAAAGGGGCATAATTCTGTCAAAATGCTTGATAGAGTTACCTCCTCCTGTCTACAGGTTGGGGTCATGATGGTGAACAAGTGTGCAAAGTTTCAAAGCCATATGTCAATGGACTTTGAAAATATTTGAACTATTACAAAAACTTTAACGGAAATTCTAAGTCGAAAAAGGGGCATAATTCTGTCAAAATGCTTGATAGAGTTACCTCCTCCTGTCTACAGGTTGGGGTCATGATGGTGAACAAGTGTGCAAAGTTTCAAAGCCATATGTCAATGGACTTTGAAAATATTTGAACTATTACAAAAACTTTAACGTAAATTCTAAGTCGAAAAAGGGGCATAATTCTGTCAAAATGCTTGATAGAGTTACCTCCTCCTGTCTACAGGTTGGGGTCATGATGGTGAACAAGTGTGCAAAGTTTCAAAGCCATATGTCAATGGACTTTGAAAATATTTTAACTATTACAAAAACTTTAACGTAAATTCTAAGTCGAAAAAGGGGCATAATTCTGTCAAAATGCTTGATAGAGTTACCTCCTCCTGTCTACAGATTGGGGTCATGATGGTGAACAAGTGTGCAAAGTTTCAAAGCCATATGTCAATGGACTTGGAAAATATTTGAACTATTACAAAAACTTTAACATAAGTGGTTACGCCGACGCCGACGCTCGGGTGACTGCAATAGCTCTACTTATTCTTATCGAATAGTCGAGCTAAAAAGTGTTGTTGTCAAAGCTATCTGTTAACAGGGTGGCTGGATATATGTATTGTAACTGTACCATAGTCAATGTCAGGATCTGATCGACAAATGTACATGTATAAGCAGTTGAGGTAGCTCAGTCAGTAGGAGTAGAGAGTGGCAGGTTTGACTTGATCAGGCTGAACATTTTACATAGAAATTTAATAAATAATTTCAATGTGCACAGCAGTATGTCATAATTTAGAACTATTCACAAATAAAATGTACTGTTAATTACTAAAATAAGGCTCTTAAAGATCTTCACAAAAAGGTTACCAGTGACAGCCTGACTTAAACACCACAGCCTGTGATTGTTGTAATCTGTGACTGACTTCAGGTCAAGCTTCGGTTGTGTTTCTTCACATCTTAACACACTCAGGTCCACAAGCTACATTTGAAATAATCCAGAGTTTTACAGCATATTAATAACAGTTCATGTCAATGTCATATGAAGATCAGGACATTATCATGTCAACTATAATAATAAATGCTTTTCAATATTTATAATACAACACATTCATAACGTTGATTTTCAGTGGATGACTCCTGTTATTTCTATAATTTATGACTGTTGCAAATTTATTAATCATGGAAATCAATGGAGCAGTATCAAAATTGAACATAGTTTTATAGTGGTGTATGAAAGTTTGTTTGCTCTATCACTCTTTCCTATTGCTTACAACTGTTTATACTAGACCATATAACCTCATAATTTTTTTCCATACATGTAGTATGAAATGGAAAATGAGCCATATACAGCATACAATGTTATGATATATGAAATACCTTAATTAATAAGGAGAGGATAGAATAAAATATTACCTGTAACCATTCATTAAGATACGGGTCATGTGAATATAAACATAGTCTATAATCTTGTGATAATGTAGCTAATATACTCCTGCAAGAATAAAACAACATGAGCTGTCACTGTAAATTACAAGCTGATTTTAATTTCAAAAATGATCTAATCTAAGTTATAAAGTTTCTAAAGCATATAATAATAACTATTATGATGAATGCTTGTTGCATGTTCCTTTTGCAAAGACAAAAAACATGGCTTAACTTAAGGATTGATAGGAAATCAATCTTTAGCCTCAGTGGGTAACCATTACCTAACTGACCAGCAATAAAATGCATCGGAACAAGACCTTCATGCAAAAAAGAAAGAAAGAAAGAAAGAAAGAAAGAAGGAAGGAAAGAAAGAAAGAAGGAATGGAAGGAAGAAATGGAAGGAAGGAAGGAATGGAAGGAAACTAGAACTGCCACTATCATGTCGTGAATACCCCCGCATACCACTTTGTCAGAATCAACAGTGGCCATTTAGAGCTCAAGGACAACCTCCCTGCCAAATCTGAGGTTACTAAGCCAGTGCATTGCTAAGTTATGTATTCTACATGCTTCAAATGTGAAAATGTCAAAATCAATACATTGCGGACAGGACATTCTTTAGCAATTGAGAAGAAAAGCTTTTGTCAAGGTCCCTGTGACCTTGACCTTTGACCCAGTGACCTCAAAATCAATAGGGGTCACCTTATAGTCATGATCAACATCCATGCCAAATATGAAGACTGTAGGTCAAAGGAATCTGAAGTTATAGGGCGGACAAGCTTTTTGAAGTCAAGGCCCCTGTAACCTTGACCTTTGACCTGGTGACCTCAAAGTCAATTGGGGTCATCTATTTATCATGACTAGCCTCCATGCAAAATATGAAGACTGTGGGTCAAAGGAATCTTAAGTTATTGGGCGGACAAATTTTTTGAAGTCAAGGCCCCTGTGACCTTGACCTTTGACCTGGTGACCTCAAAATCGATAGGGGTCATCTACTAATCATGACTAACCTCCATGCCAACAGTGATTTTTTTCCTGCATTTTACAGCCGAATAAAGGCTGTTTCCCCTAGCCCTAAATAGGTATATTTTCCCCTAAAAATGCTATTATTTTTCCCCTAAAATGCCCTTTGCACATTTTTCACTAGAGCCATGACTTAACAGCAGCTGATTTATATCAGCTTAAGACAGAACTAGTGAACTACAGATAGCCCCAGCATGTATCATGGATGTTAAATTGAATTGAAAATGAATATTCTAAAACATATGTGAGTAAACCATTCTCAGTTGTTAGAATTTGATGTTCCCCTTTTCTGATTTATCGCGCTATATTTTCCCCTTCAGAAAGCCACAGGTTGTTTTGAAAATTGAAAAAAAAATCACTGGCCAAATATGAAGACTGTGGGTCAAAGGAATCTTAAGTTATTGGGCGGACAAGCTTTTTGAAGTCAAGGCCCCTGTGACCTTGACCTTTGACCTGGTGACCTCAAAATCAATAGGGGTCATCTACTAATCATGACTAACCTCCATGCCAAATATAAGGACTATGGGTCAAAGGAATCTTAAGTTATTGGGCGGACAAGCTTTTTGAAGTCAAGGCCCCTGTGACCTTGACCTGGTGACCTCAAAATCAATAGGGGTCATCTACTTATCATGACTAACCTCCATGCCAAATATGACGACTGTAGGTCAAAGGAATCTTAAGTTATTGGGCGGACAAGCTTTTTGAAGTCAAGGCCCCTGTGACCTTGACCTTTGACCTAGTGACCTCAAAATAAAAAGTGGTCATCTTCTAATCATGACTAACCTCCATGCCAAATATGAAGACTGTAGGTCAAAGGAATCTTAAGTTATTGGGAGGACAAGCTTTTTGAAGTCAAGGCCCCTGTGACCTTGACCTTTGACCTAGTGACCTCAAAATCAATAGGGGTCATCTACTAATCATGACTAACCTCCATGCCAAATATGAAGACTAAGGGTCAAAGGAATCTTAAGTTATTGGGCGGACAAGAAAAAACCGACGGACGGACGGCCGGACGGACGGACAGACAAGCTGATTCCAGTATACCCCCCTTACAACTTTGTTGTGCGGGGGTATAATAAAGAATGGAAAGGATGGACTATAAACTATATACCCTAACAAAATACTTTGTTTTATATAAATTACTCCCAAATGTACAAATAAACATTGTACAATATTTTACCTCCCAACTGCATCAGCTCCTTCAGGTGACCAATCTGCAAAGGCAAATCCAGTTCTAGCAACTGTATCAAACTGATATCTCCAAGGATTCATCACCCTATCAACTGAAAGTGTCTTTAATTCCTCTGAAATTAAAGCAATAATTGAACATATGAGATGTGAGACACAAGTGATTGATAATTTCTCAATTTGTAACTAATATTTTGTCACACAAGTGCAGTAACTGGTTAACTCTTTATACAATTTAATAGGACTTAACTGGTTAATGCACTAAGGTGAAAATTTAAGTTTGAAAGCACATGTTATTCTCATTTCTTTCTTGAAAACATTTGATTATACATTTCACAGCTCTTTTGAGTCGGTAATAAATCATAAAATACCACCCACACCAAAAAATAAGAAAAAATAAACAAACAAACAATACAATCAGGAAAGAAAGCATAAATCACATTATAGTATTACCTCTTGACAAATTCTTGAAGAGAAATTTAAGTTGGACGTTTGTCATCTGTGGTATATCTAGTATATCAGCATTGACAGGAAAACTTGACTGTTGGCATCTTATTTTAATATCAAGGTTGTTTACTCCACAATTTATATACTGGAAAGTAATTGAGATGAGATTAAATGAATACACAGTATCAGTATGTCAATATTTTGAAATGATCTTTTGTTGGGGTAAGTAAAGGAAAAGCATGATAAATCTCAGTAGAGCTGTTGCATATAAATTACTATTCTTTTGGCAAAGGTCTCATCCAAAGAGAAATTTTCAGTTTTCTGACACCAGCAATCAGCAATTTTACTAACAATTTTAAAATAAAAGTGAATAAAGTTTTTTTCATAGGCTTTGCCTACTTTCGTATTAGATTGTGGTGTTGGTAGTTTACCCTCGGGATCACGACAGTAACTTGAGTAAGACACAAAGAAATTTACCAGTGAACAATTAAGCCAGTCCCCATACTGTAATTGATCCCGTGCAGGCTGTCAAGGAAAATTTCCTGCAAAACTTATTGCCTTAACTTTCACAAGGAAATGATACACTGCCAATGACTGAAAGAATTCATGATTGGAATTCTTCATGATCAGATGATTAATCATGATAAAGTGACCTGCTATGTCCTGGACTTGAGCCTAAGTGGCATGATTCACTGTCAAATATTTTAACTATTGAGTGGGTATGATATAATATGGGCCCGTTTTATGCCTGCTAGTCATAATCAGAATTGATTGTTAAGCAGTATGATGTAAAAATTTAATAAGGAAACAAAATAGTGGTGTTCATCCTATCTTGATACGAGCAAAACGCGTAATTATCATGTTTAGAATCCAAAATCGATGTAAAACTCATGCTTAAAGAAGTGTTACCATAATTTTCATAGCCGTATCTGTACAAAAGCTGATTCTATGGTCTGGCGACCAAGTAATCGCATGATTGCTTGATATTTTGTTTGGAAATTCATAAACGGCAGCCATGTTTCTTACTCTTTAATCGCTATTTGTTAACTGAAATTTGATTGGATCATGTGGCAGCGGCTTTCCAAGATAACAAATGAAATTATTCCTAACTAAATAACCGATGTAAACCGGAACCACGTGTGTTTGTTTACCACAAAATGTCATTTACCTTCAATTTTCCAGATCCTGAAAATAGTGGTAAAATATATTTTTTATCGTATACGTCCATTAATTATGGATAAGGAATTATGTTATAAATTGGACAAATTTAAGGAGTTTGGGTTTGAAATAACCTTTGAATGAAAAAAATATGCCAAACTCAGCAATTTTGTTGATTTGCCCAATTGTTGACTTGTACATGTAGCTTGTAGGATAATAGGATGACATAAAATGATTTGAATATGTAAACCCTCTCTGTTGAATAATAATAATATAAGCTGGCCCAGTGTCATATGATGAACCGGTGTTTAAGAAACTTAAATATTTCCCACCAAGTCTCTGGATACATGTAGATCTACCTGGAGCGGAGACTCGCATCATGTTACTTTTTACTGTCACTACAGCTGGAAAACCATGTACACATTGACATGTTGAAGCAGGGACATACAATAGGTTAAAACTGGGATACTAGCTGATACTTTTCAGTAAACCAGGCTAAAACAAAACTTGTTACCTGCTAGTTGAAAAGTCAAAGTTCCCACTATTCCCAAGAGATAGGACCAGTGTTGTAAATAATTGATTCCCAGCAAACACAAGACGTCATTCTGACGTCAGATTTAAGTCAGGTTCCGACGTCGGATGACGGTCGGAAAAACGGTTGGATTTGAAAGTTTTTTTGACGTAATAATCTGACGTCAGGTAGACGTCAGAATCTAACCATGATCTAACCTTTTTCTGACCAAAATCTGACCATTTTCTAACCATTTTTTCGACCTCAATCTGACCATTTTCCGACCTAAATCTGACCATTTTCATACCTAAATCTAACCAGTTTCTAACCGTTTTCCGACCTCAATCTGACCATTTTCCGACCTAAATCTTAACCCTTTTCTGCCCTAAATCTGACCATTTTCTGACCTTAATCTGATCATTCCCCTAATCCTTCTTGTTTTACCACATTATAAATATTTTCTGGCTATTCCTGCTTTGATCGAATTTAATGTAACTCATTCTATTAAGTAACTTTCACTCCAATGAAATGTATAACAAAAAAATAAAATCAAAAATATGTTTTTATATTTTTCATTTATTTAAAATAAAAGTTCCAAGGCTAAATACTTTTCATAAATTAAACAAAAAACATAAAATAAAACAAAAAGTATTACAAAAACAAATATTTTTTTTATAATTTTAAGAAAAGTTAAAAGATTCGGATAATAATGTTTCAAGCAATTAATGACAGATTTTCAGTATTTTAACTATATTTCTACAGCATTACTAAAACATTTCGTTAGTGCCATTTTGCATATTTTGACCTCCTTTTGATAATTGTCACTAAGGTATACAGTAAATTACTTCCTTTTTGTTACATCACAAAGTTATACTTTTAAATATCCATGAGAATTAGCACGAATTTGGAGGTGTGATGCTTTTAGATATGACCTTCTCTCACCACCCCTCGTCTGTCCGGAGAATACGTTAATGTCCAATAGCGTTTGTGATGTCATTTTCACTGAAAAAAAAGAAATTTATGAAAAAATGGACAAATAACAAGCTAAAATGTTTTTCATGGTTATCTGCCCTTTAGAAATTTTGAAAGTTATCTTAACTTAATGAACAATTTTGCTAGATTTTTATAAGAGAGCTTTAACAAAAATTGAAACTAAACATGAATACTGAAAATTTAAAAGGCCGCTTTAAAACTCCAGTTTAGTATGGATTATAAGTATGTAACAGAATTTACAAAAATCTTACTTTGCCATGTGTCTTTTTGCATAATCACGTGTTTCTGTCCATCCGACCTTTTAGAGCATGTCCAACACTTGAGCTACCTGAAAAGAAAATTATATTCTAAATTATGTATATTCTACGTTTGAAACACAAGTCTTAAATTTTTCATAGTTTCAAATTAATGTTTCAAATGCATTCTCAATTCTCAGATTTTAACTGACAAAAACATCACAGGTAAAGAAAAATATGAAAACTAAGCATTCTCTTTGGTAGTACTGAATTTGGTAGTACTGAAAGGCACATTATAAACTCTCCACAAGCAGAGTTAAGACATGTCAAATTTGAAAAGATTTATTATCACACATTATCGCGAAATTGTGTGACATTTTGCTTCAACTGTTCAAATAATGGTAATTTATTTTAAGAATGCTTGCAATCATGCAATTATTTATCAAATATAAAGTAGAAATAAATTTAAATAAATTAAACTGACCTCTCTGTTCAAGAAAATCTAAAATATTCACTGTATCAATGCATCCCGATTCCTGACCGACAGCCAAAACGTAACGCCTACGAATTTGAATTTCCATCCACGTGGCTGTAGATTCGAATTATAGGTTAATTATGTTTTCTTTCCCTTTTCTGTCACTATGATTAAATGTTAAAGCACTATTAAAAACTCGTGATTTTGATACATATAATGTACCACTAATGATAATATTATATCGTTAAATGATTAGAACTCGTAAACAGATCTGTGGCTAAAAATAGATTTCATAACAATAACACATGTAACTTGCCTATATATAGCGCCACCTATATGTTTTATTAGGATGCAGCGCCGCGATCTTGGTCTGTATAGATATATACTCACTTCATTTGTAAGCCAAATAACATTTGAAAAATGTTTAAATGATTACAACAGTGAATAACGATTTTTTGTTTGTTAAATTTTTACCTACCGTCAGGACGCCGACCAGAACCTGACGTTAGTACGACGCCAAAAAGAAACGTCTAATAGACATCGGTTTTTTAACGTCAGATTTACGTCGTATTTTGGTCGCCGACGTCGTGACCAAAATCTAACGTTAATCCGACGTTGTTTTAACGTCATGTGTTTGCTGGGTTGCAATATATGAATTCATTTTTCCATACATTATATGTGATGTTAGTTTATACAAATTTGATGATGATTTTAGAGAATGCAGTTCAAGAAGAAAAACAGGAAAAGGAAGATGAAGGTGATGAAATCGATCATGTTGAACAATTTAGAGAAATATTTACTTCAGAAGCAGTTCAGGTAATGCTGCATACATGTACAATTCAATCAACTTCTTTTTAGTTATCAATTCTAATCATCTTTATAATTACCGTAAAATTCCATATAAACGCCCCTCCCCTAATAAAGGCCCCCCAGGCCTTTTGATAGGGAAAACAATCTACTCTGCAGTGCTGAACTCATAATTAAAGCCATAATTTTATTCATGAAATCATTCAGAATCCATAGTATTTTATAGTAAACACAAATATGTATAATATGAACTTTAAAACCTTAACATTTTTTAATTTCATTACCAACACTTGCTAACACTAAATGTATTTACAGTGATTTTTTTATTTAGGAAAAACTGTGTGGTAATAAAAGCCCCCCTTTTGGAAAATGTTTAGCCCCCGGGGGCGTTTATTAGGAATTTTACGGTAAGTCATATATTAAGTAATACATGTATTTATTTGAAGATGTAAAAATGGCTTTAATTGAAGCCATGATGTTTATGACCCCAAAAATGATCAACATTGTTGGACTAATTTTATTTGTAAATTGAGATATTAAGGTACAGTATTATTTACATGTATATGATACTTTCAAATTTATTCTTAATTACATAAAACATTTTAGTTTAAGTCACTGGAAAATTGCTAGTTACTGAAACCAAAAGCTTGTAAAGTTGATTTCAATGCTAATTCCTTTGAGTGTTTAATTGAGGTAATAATTTATTGTTTCAGGCAACAGACCTACCCACATTTTCGTATGAAATGTCAGATTGTGTTTGTATAAAGTGTGTAGACAGTCAGGCTGTAGAAACTAGGCTATGTGATGAACAAAGATTTACATGTGGTGTCACAGCAGCAGCCAATCAACATTCAGATCTTATACCTAATGTTTATGAAGGTATGTTGGTTTGCTACACCTACGATCTTAGATATCTTAAATGGACTTGTCCTTCTTTCAAATTCTTGCAAAACCTTTTAATTTCACACCACCAGTTTGTAACATTTTGACAGAACAAATCATTATTAATGTCTAATTAATTATTATATTAAATAAAGAATGTGCCTTAGTTAAAGACACTATTTTAGCTAAAATAAACTTCCTCTTGACATGCCTGTAAGAACAAGAAACTATATTTGTTCAATCTGACTAAAATGCAAATCCTCTTCTACATGTAAACATAAGAAGTCAGATTGATAATTTTTCAACTTTTAATTGGTTTCCTTCCACTAGGTTTTGCTTTACACCTTAAGCTTTTATAAAAAATTCTTTCAACTCATGTAAGAGCTTGTAAATATAATCATATAATTAACTTTTCTAGGTGGTTTGAAGGTTTGGGAATGTGCTTTAGACCTGGCAGAATATTTATGCAAAAGTACTGTTCATTTTAAGAACAAAAATGTTTTGGAGGTAAGAATTCCTAGTTTACCCTTGAATTACAAATGGGTATGAAAAAATCGAATTGACTCATAGCTTCATTTATAAACCATTAATGATCCCACTCATGGTGCCAAAAATCACAAAGTGAGAAAAATGTGCACCTGATTGTGACTCAAACCCAAGACCATCAGAATAGTATTATATAGTTGTACTGAGTGACTGAACTATACCCAACTACATACAAACATGTATTTTCTCCCCATTATGTGAACAGCTCTATAAAGCTACATGCTTCCAGATGAGCCAAAATATATCAAGATATCAAACTTATGAAATATGTACTAAGTTTTGAAGAAAAGTGAAAAATTAAGAAATTCAAGTGATAATGTTTTGTTCAATTAATGACTGCTTTCACCATATTTCTATTGCGTTACTAACACAGTAAGGGCTATTTTTGACCTGTTTTTGGTGATTCATGTAGATTGAACATACTATTTGTGATGTGTAAATTACTTTCTTTATTTCCTTCACAATATTTTACTGTTGAATAGATTTTCAAAATTTTTCTTCTTGCTGCTTTAAAATAACTGTTGTGTTTTCTACAACACAAATATGACAGACTCACTGTAAGAGCATAAGGCTGATACAAATATGTTTTATGTTTGTATATACTATGAAACCGATTTATGTTTATATGGTAGAGAAAATTAAGAATGGTTATTTTTTACAATTTTTTGTTTCAGCTTGGTTGCGGTGCAGGAATTCCTGCTATTTTAGCGCTGTTAAATGGTGCCTCAAGTGTTCATTTTCAAGATTACGTAAGTTTTTGTAGCATTATTACATGTATGTCATTTCTTTCATTTTCCTACATATTTACCTATGATAAATTTAATAGATTTTTGTATACATATTAATAGTATTTTATTTCTTAGTTAACAAATATTTCCCCAATTTATGCCTGGGACCTTTTCCCAAAATAGCTACAAAAGGTCCTGTACATGTAAATCTATGCAGGTACCAACTTTTGACAGAAACATTCAATGCATAAAGAGACATCTGGTGTCTTCCTCTACCAGTTAAGGGTTTAAATTTGTAATATGATCTAACACAATAATTTTCAACAGAATAAGAGACATTTATGACCAGCAGGCCAGTTAGTAATATCAGGAATAATTATGGTAGGAAATTCTTTAAGAAGCATTCTTTTCTGTTAGAATTGTTGGGTATTATGCATAGACCTATATCTAAAATCTGTAATAAAGTCTCTGGTTTAAAGTCACTTGGGAAGATTTTTAGCTCACTTGTCACAAAGTGACAGGGTGAGCTTTTGTGATCACTTTTCGTCCGGCGTCCATCATCCATCCGTCGTCCGTCCGTAAACTTTTACTTTAAATGACATCTCCTCATAAACCACTAAGCCAATTTCATCCAAACTTCACAGGAATGTTCCTTTGGTGGTCACCTTTATAAATTGTTCAAAGAATTTAATTCCATGCAGAACTCTGGTTGCCATGGCAACCGAAAAGAAAAAACTTTAAATATCTTCTTTTAAAAAACCCTAAGAGCTAGAGCTTAGATATTTGGCATGAAACATCTTCTAGTAGGTGTCTACCAAGTTTGTTCAAATAAAAGCCCTGGGGATCAAAATTGGCCGCGCCCCAGGGGGTCATTGATTTTTCCTATATGCATATATATGTGACCCCATAACGGTTTATAACTATATGTGTACAGTAAAAACTTAAAAAATCTTCTTTTAAAAAGCCCAATGAGCTAGAGCTTAGATGTTTAGCATGAAACATCTTCTTATGGGTGTCTACCAAGTTTGTTCAAATAAAAGCCCTTGGGTTAAAATTGGCCCTGCGGGGGAGGGGCCTATATACAGGTGTCAGCGACCTTAGGGCCATCATGGCCCTCTTGTTTTTCAATTTTGTTGAAGGTGATATGTCTAAAATATGTTTTAATGTAATAAGTATATGCAGAACCACTTATCCTGATATTGATTCAATTTGCTTATATTCTAGAAATGATAGCAAAACAAAAACAACATACTTAAACAAAGATGAAATAATTTATACAGTCAAACATGTATTTGGTGTATTTCAGAATTATGAAGTTATTGAAAGCTATACCATACCAAATGTGATGTTAAATGTGCCAGAGAAGAATACATGTACCTGTAGATATTTCTCAGGAGACTGGGATAGCTTTAGGAATCATATGTCCAACCAAAATATACAGTAATCATTGGATAATTTATTCATAAGATAAGAATATGCGCAAGAGTAATGTGTTTAAGCTGTAGCCTGCTGGAACCAGAGATTAGCCATTATTTTTACCACTAGGTTCTATACTGTTGGCATATATTTCCAAAATTGAAAATTGGACATTTTGAAAATTGGCAGGTGGACAAATTTACTTTGTTTTACAAATTTGTTTTTCATGAAGATTTTAACACATTTATCTTGGTAAATACATAAATTCTGAAACAGCAATGAGAAAATATGACCATTAGACACAATGTCTCTGATCAATTATAGCTGAGAAATTGCGCCTTGCCTGTGGATCCAAGCATGTGGTCCCTAGGTTACAATTCTGATTCTTGCCCGTGGATCGAACCAGCGGTTCCTAGGTTACAACTCTGATGTTTTCCCTTTTGCTCTAAGCAGGTGGGCTCCGCAGGTTGAGAGTAAATGCTTTATAAATTAGTTACATGTAGTTAGGTATTGAAAGCTTTGAGTGGGTTTGAATCTCATGAGTCCATTTTCCAGAATTAACAAGTATGATATATTTAGTAAATATGGACAAGTCTATTTAATATATTAAGCATGGTTTGGCCTTTAATTAACTAGGACACAACAAATACATGTAAATGTACATTATTTTACAGGTATGATGTCATCTTATCGGCTGAAACAATTTATAAACCTGAAAACTACAAGAAACTTACAGCCATATTTGAACACTTCCTGTCTCAAGATGGTGAAATGTATCCTTTTATAATCAAAATTAAATTTCTAGTCTTCAACTCATGCCAAATCAAACTCTATTGTGCTGTAGCTGTTATAGAACTACATTTATACCATTAATGTGTAGTTTATATAGAATTTTAGTTCCATTGTGTGATAGACACTCCTTTGAATCTGTTCATTGTACCAACCAGTACTTAGCAATGAGTGTAAAATTACTTGCTCTAGGAAACAACAACTTGCCCTTGACTGAGACCTACATGGCTGGCATTCCCGAGACAACTAGTGTGCTAACTACTAGGTCATGACACGACCAATATTTGCTGCCAAGGTTTAGTTTTATGATCTTGATAGCCCTCAAACTAAAAATAGATGGGTCTGAGTTTGTATTTGATATTCTTAACATTTGTCAGATATGTAGCTGCCAAGTCCAATTATTTTGGTGTAGGAGGAGGAACGAGGGATTTTGAAAGTTTTGTCCTGAAAGCTGGAAAATTTAACGTGGAAACATGTCATACAGTTGAAACAGGTGTGTCATTTTTAACTTTCCTGCAAAATTTGTTAAAATTATAACAGTGAAAAATGTAGCAGAACAATACTTTTTTATTTTGTAGATTTATTGTTAAAGTCAGAAATGGCATTTTTGTCCAAAATTTTGGCAGGGCCTGCCTCAGAAATCACTTGCATGCATAAGGAAAAAGTAAGGGAAACTTTTTTTTAAAATTGCTTGTTATTTGTAAATTTCAACTTGAATTTTTTGTTAAAAGTTGTATTTTTTCTACTTGTTATAAGTTTCACTGTTGTAAGTTTTACTGAAGTTTTGATATTCAAATAATATTTATATGGTAATTTTTCAATGTACCTTATGAATACGTATAAGTATTTGTGTGACAAAGGGGCTAAAGATTGGCACTTATCATCACTATGTGGGAAATACCTGAAAACCCAGCCTCCTGCTTTTTTAGCTTAAACTGTTTCTGTTTTGAAATAAATTCTATGAAAGAGTTTGCCTGTATGTCTTATATCAAAACTGTAGCGAATGTCTTTATGTGATTTGTTATGGATACAATATAAATAATTAGTTATATACATGTACATGTTTATACATTATTTGTTTTCAGGTGTTCCAAGAGAGATCATGAAATTGACAAGGCGGTGAAATTCATACTGTTAAAGGGAGACTACTGCTGATAAATAACCATTTATACTACATGTAGTTACCTCCCATTAAGCTACAAAAGTGCAATATTTAAAACGGGCAACACTAAGCTTTTAACACATGGTTGAACAAAGGATCAAAGTAATTTAGTGTGTGAATCTGCTTTGAATACAGATAAGGGAGACTCAGTGTTTATAATGTGACTGACTTACGTTCCTGTTAATTTCACTAAGTAAATGCCATACAACAATTAAGCATTTTATTGGAATAGCCTTAGTGAACAAATCTAGGACTTTCCATTATCTAGTTATTCCTTTGAAGGACCTGAGGGACATAGATAGATAAATCTAATAATCCTTGTACTGGTAGGATGACTATGTATGAATTTATTTAGAAATAAATCAGATTGGAAGTATACAAGCAGTGTTAGGACTTCTTAATTTTTTTGCTTTATTTCACATATATTTTTCTAAATCTTTTTTATGAGTTCATGTCAAATAGGCCGATCACCCTAGAATTCATTTTTAACTCCACTTTTTAAAGAAAAACTTTCATGACACATTTTACAATGATGGCAGTGGTGGCATCAACATAAGTTAACATTTTTAGCTTGACTAAACAAAGTATATGGAGAGCTGTCCTACTGCCCCGGCGTCGGCGTCAAGATTTAGGATTAAAGTTTTGGTGCAGTGAAATATTTTTCAGTATAACTTTTTCAATTCTTAAAGCAGCAAGCCTCCAGATTCATTATAATTTTCATGAAAATTTTAAAAATGTATCTGAATGTATAATTATGTGAAATAACTAAATGGAAGCCATTGACACATTATCAATGGCACTTACAAGCCATGTAAATTACCAAAAAAGTGGTCAAAATATGCATAATTAGCCCTTACTGTGCTTAGTAACACAGTAGACATATAGTTGTAAATACTAAAAAATCAGTCATTAACCGCACATAACATGTAACATATTCCTAAAATCGTAGTACATATTTCCCAAGTTTGATTTCATTGAAATATTTTGATTTATTTAGAGACATGCAGCTTTAAGTTATTAACTTCAAATTTCAAGTAAATGTTCCTTGTCATCAACCATAATTTATGTGACAAGGTTCATAACTCTAGCACCAATATATTCAAATTTATCTGCCCTTAAACTTAGAATTTTCCTTAATGAATATTATTTTTTTACTGTTACATAACTCAAGCTTGATTATTTCCAGAATTCCCCCCCCCTTTAACTTGGAATTTATGTTAACCAATGTTATTTTTTACTATAACTTCTTGTCATATGGATAAGCATTATAAAACGCAAGCTCCTGTTTTCCCAGAATTATATCCATTTAATTTTTGACCTTAGAATTCATTTGTAAATTGATTTTTTTCTAGTATTATCTTTGTTATTATAAATGGTATAGATCTACTCTAGACTTGAAATTGTCGTGAATTACACGATTTTGTTTTACTCCTAATCATGAGAATTATGTCTGTTTGTATTTGGCGGGAAAATATTATATTTATTTTACTCCAAAAGTTATGAATTGTGTATGTTTGTATTTGGCGGGAAAATATTATATTTCTTTTACTCCAAAACTTATGAATTGTGTATTTTGGTATTGGCGGGAATTTATTTCACTTATGAATTACCCCATATCATGATATTCATGACTTTTTAAATTGGCGGGAAGAAAACACTATATAAGTGAATTACAATCTTTATTTTGGTAGAAGCGTATAAGTGTAGAAGCGTAGAAGTGTAAAAAGTGTAAAAGAAGTGAAGTGTAGAAGTGTTAAAAAAGGTTGTTAAAAGGTGATTAAAAAGTATAGTTGGATGTAAAAGTGAAAATAAAATCTGAATATAAAAGTGAATTTTGTTGTCTTCAATGTAGTAAAAGTTAAAGGGAAATTAAAAGGAAAAAGTTTAGAAAATCTGCTACATTGAATTTGGCGCCGGAACCCGGGAATCGAGAATAGAATTTGAAGACTTTCCACAAAAAAGAATTTCTTCACAACGTATATATGATGTCTCTGTGAGATGCGAAAACAAATATCTTACAGTTGGAATGAAAGGATTCTCGATTCGGTCAAAGAAAATAGTGATGTATGGTATCCTGAAATGTGTTAGTGCGTGAAAACAAATTGAAGGCGAAGTGGCAACCAGAATCAATAAAGTGTTTCTCAAAGGAATATAAAAAGTGAACTAAAAAAAGTGTTGAATAAATTCAAGAATCACTGAGGTAAATTTTGAATAATTTTACTGTGATTTTTTTGTGTGTTTATAATATTTATATAATAATCATGAGTGACTTACCATATCTAAAAGGCGTGCGCACACGCTACTTTAATTTCCTTGAGAAGGAATTACGGACTGGAGATAATTTATTAGAAACAAGTATTGAGAGCAAAAGCCCAGAAGAATACAAGCAGCTGGAGCATTCTGTCAATGAAAGTAAACTTAAGATTGATATTTATATAGATAAGCTTACTGTTCAGTCAGAAAAGGTAGCGCGTGCAATTGGTGATTCAGATAGTGAATTTATTCAGGAGATGATTGAAATTGATTCGGTCTTGATTGATAGGGCTTTGTCGATAGCCTTTAAACTGAAAAATGTACAGACCGACCTGAAAAGCAAAATAGCAGAGAATATTATGAAAGAGGAGTCGGACGAAGAAGGATCAGCTTTACAAAAAATGTGTGAAGTTCAGATGAAACTTCAACAAGCCTTCTTTGAACATCAGCAAGAACGGGCAGAAGAGCAAATGAAAATGCAACAGAAATTCTTTGACAAGCAACACAGTCTCAAAATTAAGAGTGAGAATACTGTCAAATTGCCAAAGTTAGACATAGTTTCCTTCAATGGAAATAAACTGCAATGGATGGAATTTTGGGACTCTTTCTCTAGTGCTGTACATGAAAATGACAATCTGTCGCCAGTTGACAAGTTCAACTATTTAAAGGGAAAGTTGGTTGGAGAAGCTAGAGGTGCTATCGCTGGACTGACATTATCTAATGAAAACTACGGTATTGCCATAACAATTCTAAAGGAAAGATTTGGAGATAAACAAGACATTATAGATTTGCATTATAAGGGGCTGGTGAACGTTGCATCCGCTAAAGATACAACTGAAAGTTTGCGATTCTTTTATGACAAAATACAAAAGCACTTGAGAAGTTTGGAGGTTATGCAAGAGAGTTTGGAGCAACAAGTGTTCGTATCAATTATTCGGAGCAAACTACCAAGTGAAGTTCTTATGCATCTTGAAGTACAAAAGGGTGCAGACAATAAGTGGACGTTAACCAAGCTTCGTGAGTTTCTCAGACAGTATATTGTATCCAGAGAAAAGTCAGACAGACCGAAACCAGTCAGTGCTAATTTTGTATCTGATAGAAGAGTTAACCCACAGTTTCAAAGATCAACAAATACTTTTAAGAGCTACAGGGGTAATCCAACAACAAGTAACACTACCGGAGCTCTGACTGCATATGACAAGAAAGGACATACGCCTCTAACACATCATCAAAAACAACAACAACATAAGAGAATATGTAGATTCTGTAGTAAAAATCATTGGAGTGACGAATGTCCGAAGTTTAAAACAATCGACGAAAAGAAAAGCTCAAATAAAGGATGCTGTTACAAATGCTTAAGAGAAGGACACATGTCTCCTGACTGTAAAAGTATACGTGTTTTGTGTGTATTGCAATAAATCAAATGTACACCACAGAAGCTTATGCCCTGAAAAATTTAGAAAGGCATCTCTGCAAGAAAGTGTAAATTTGTTAGAAGAAGTAGCATGTGTGTCTGAAGATAGAGCAAAACCAAAGGAAATTCTTAGAAATTCTACGGATGATAAAGCTTGTATTGAAAGTGCTTTGTTATCTTCTAATGAAATAGTGATGATGCAAACATCGCGCACTGAGATTAGTGATCCAGACGGTCAAAATAAAAAGAAAGTAAGAATCTTATTAGATTCAGGGTCGCAAAGAACATACATAACTGAGAGACTGGCTAAATCTTTGAACCTCAAGAAGAAAAGTAGGCAAGAGATTCGTCTAGTTACATTTGGGAGTGACAAACCTAAAGTGATTAGAACCATGTCTACGCAATTGAATATTCAATTAAAGGATGGACAGAATTTCGCTATAACAGCAAATATTGTTCCAACAATTACAGGAAGCATTCAAAGAAAACCAGTGTCTATATCTAATAACGGAGAGTTCAAATCGTTAATCAAGAATCTTACTCTAGCGGATGATATACCGACTGAAAGAATACACAGATTCTATTGATTTGCTGTTGGGAAATGATTATTACTTAGATATAGTGTTAGGACATAAAATAGAAATTCAGCCAGGCTTATACCTCTTGTCATCAAAACTTGGTTGGATTCTTTCAGGAAGAACAAGTGAAATCGATGACAGCGTTACTGATGCCAATATGCTCATATTATCATATGGCAACAACATAACTAAGACACAAGTGTTTACAACAGTTGACACATGTGTTCCAAAATTACCTGACATAGAAGACTTTTGGAATATAGAAACAATAGGATTGAAAGATAGCACAAATGAAAGAACTGAGGATGATCAAGCGATAGATAAGTTCAAAGAAAGTTTTGTGTTCAAAGATAACAGATATTATGTCAAGTGGCCGTGGAGAGGCGACAATTATGAAATTCCAGAAAATCGTCCTCTAGCTTTTGGACGACTTAAGTCATTAGTGAAAAGGTTCAAAGATAACCCAGATGTATTACAGAAATATGATTCTGTTATTCAAGATCAGCTTGAAAAGGGAATTATAGAAAAAGTTGAGACCTCTGAAAAGAATAGACATATCCATTACTTACCTCATCACGCAGTGAATAAAGCCTGACAAATCAACAACAAAGCTGAGAATTGTGTATGACGCGTCAGCTAAATCAAAGGTTGAAAATAATAGTCTAAACGACTGCCTTTACAGAGGACCCGTGCTTTTGAATGACTTGTGTGGAATTCTGCTAAGATTTCGACTACATAAGATTGTTTTAGATATAGAGAAGGCTTTCCTCCAAGTTGGGTTGCAGAAAGATCAAAGAGATGTCACTCGTTTCATATGGTTAAAAGATATTGAACACCCAGACATATCGCAAAATCAGGTACAAGAATACCGGTTCTGTAGGATCCCCTTTGGAATTGTGTCAAGCCCTTTCTTATTGGGAGCAACAATTGATTATCACTTGGAGTGCTATAACAATGAAATCGCCAAGAAACTGAGACTAGATATTTATATGGACAATGTTGTAACGGGAACAGAAAACGTTGAAGCTGCGAAAGACTTGTATATTAGGTCCAAAAGAATTTTCGACGATGCCAGCATGAATCTTCGCGAGTGGGCGTCTAACAACAGAGACATGACAGAAAGTATTCCACCTGAAAACAGAGCAAATGAAACTGTGATTAAAGTGTTAGGTCTTGAATGGAACAGACATAAGGATACATTGGCGATACAGAAAGTGAATAAATCGACAACTCAGTGTGTAACTAAACGTGTCATTTTTGAGCAAAATTGCCTCTGTATTTGACCCTCTAGGTATATTTGCACCAGTTACGCTTAGAGGAAAAGTACTCATTCAAACACTGTGGAAGAAAAAAGTCGATTGGGACCAGCCAATTGACGAAGAAGACATTGTTGTATGGCATGAAATCCAACGAGATCTCAGTGAAATAAGTGAACATGCCAACCCACGATGCATTGTAAGTGAAGGTGATAACAAAAATATTCTTGTGTGTTTCTGTGATGCCTCTACCAAAGCATACGCTACCGTTATATATTTGATGCAGAAAAGGAATTCACAACAGCACATCGAAATAGTATTTTCAAAGACTCGACTTGCTCCAACTTCAAACATCAGTATTCCACGACTTGAACTCCTTGCTGTACTTATAGGGGTACGATGTTTAGCCTTTATACAAGAGCAAATAAAGATGCAAATTGACGAAGTTCATTTTGTTCTCAGATTCTCAGTGTGCATTAAAATGGATTATGTCGGAAAACAGCTTCCGTTGTTTGTTAGAAATCGAGTTACTGAAATAAAGGACCACAAACATGTGTCCTTCCATTATGTTACGTCTAGAGACAATCCTGCTGATATAGCCAGTCGGGGTTGCTCTACAAAAGATCTTGTGAAAAATTCGTCATGGTGGCATGGTCCTGAGTGGCTATTGCAAGACATTTCCGAAAGGACATTAGATGAGTTAACGTTTAAAGAAGATGATAGAATGGACAAAGCAATGGCAACAAAATGTAATGTAAAAGAAAAGAAGAAAAGTGAAAGTGTGTGTGTTTTCTGCATATGGAGCAAAGAACGAATGTTTTCCTTCGTGTGCTCCATTTGAAATTGATCAAACAAAATATTCTTCGATGACGAAGCTATTACGTGTCACAGCATATGTTAAAAGAGCAATCGGTAAAATGAAAAAGGAAAACTATGATTCACATATTCCAACATCGAAGGAAATTCAAGAAGCTGAAAATATGTGGATAAAACATGCGCAATACAAACATCTTTTGGACGTTTATGAGTCTATCAGAGGAAAGAAAAAATGCAATTTACAGCAGCAACTGGGTGTGTTCATTGATATAAACGGCCTTTTGAGGTGCAAGGGTCGTTTAGAAAATGCTTGTTTTAAACGGAGTTTGCTAGACATCCGTTATTGCTACCTCGCGATGATCCTTTAACAATGTCAATTGTCGAAAGGGAACATAAGCGTTTGCTTCACTCAGGTGTGTCTCAAACACTAAGTCAACTTAGATATCGTTACTGGATACCGAGCGGAAGAGCTACGGTACGAAAAGTTTTCATAAGTGTTTAGTGTGTCGTCGAGTTGAAAGCGGAGCGTATAAAATGCCTCTTATGGCTCCGTTGCCTCGTTCAAGAGTTACAAAATCAACACCTTTCAGTCATATTGGATTGGATTATCTCGGGACCATTATACATAAGGGACAATCAAAACCATAAAAAAGGTGTGGGTGTGCCTATATACATGTATGGTCACACGTGCAGTTCATCTAGAAATGGTCAAAGACATGACAACAAATGCATTTTTAAACAGTTTTCAGAGATTCATAGCATGCAGAGGAAAACCACAAGAGTCATCAGTGACAATGCGTTACATTTTTAAGCTGGCAAAACGTACAATTTGAGTTGCTATGGAGTTTAATTTTGAAAAGTGATGATGTTCAAACCTACAGTTCTTGTGAGGGTATTAAATGGAGGTTCATTGTAGAAATCGCTCCGATGGATGGGCGGCTTCTATGAAAGACTTGTTGGTTTAACTAAAAGAAGTTTACGTAAATCTATTGGAAGAAAGTTATTGGACAGCGACCAGCTTATAACTATCATAAAGGAAGTTGAAGCTATTGTGAACTGTCGCCCATTAAGTTTATGTTGGAGAAGATATAAACTCCAATATCACGCTGACACCTTCACAACTCATATGTTTGAACCCGAATGTTGGGTTTCCTGAAATTGAAATATCTTCAGATGACCCAGATTTTAAGGTGATAGAAAGTTCAGAGGATAAATTGTTGGCAATATGGAAAAAAGGACAGCGGCTTTTAGATTCCTTCTGGAAAATATGGAAAGACGAATATTTATGTAGTCTTAGGGAAAGAACTCAAACAAATCTGAAACAAGGAAAACATAAAGTTCAATTTAATCCAAATGTAGGTGATGTAGTGCTTATCAAAAGATAATACTAGTAGAGGTAGCTGGAGGCTAGGAAAAGTCATTCATCTGTATGTTAGTTTCCGATGGTTGTGTTCGTTCTGCAGATATTGAAACTGCATCCAAAAAAGTGCTTAAAAGACCTTTAAGCTTACTTTATCCTATTGAAACTTCAAAAACTTCTTATTCCAGAGACAGAGGATATAAGACCAAACGCAAAGAAAGAAACTGGTATACGTCCCGAGGAGAAAGGCACGGGCAAAATTTACGAAATTACGCCTTAATATTTAGTATTACAAACCCATAGGTATTAAACGACGAATACTTTGGTTGTTGGGGAAATCCCATACAGCGGGGAACCAGTTTGAATTATTTATTGAAAGAAGTGTGGAATACTATTTATGCACGGACATTCAAAGCATTAAGGAATATAATATGTTTCATCCTTGAAGAAATTGTACGAATAACATAGGGTTACGAATAATTTTATATCACGTGACGGTACGGCGCGAACAAAATTGGGGCATGTTAAACACACTGGTGATTTTACGCGCGAATAAGTTGGAGCAATTCTATACAGTAAATTTTTTGGCGGCAAAAAATCCTTGATATCCGTGCAACTGACGAGTATTGGTATTATTTGTGTTCAGAAGCTCATTGACAGTTCAGGATAACCAAAGTAAATTATAATTTTTTGTAACATAGTTATTGAAATGGATCGGCCGAGTGTGCTTTTTTGTAATAGAGATTATAAGCAAAAGAGAACTTAGGCTAAGGCACATGATGGAAAAAACATCACAGCTCTCTAGGGGAGTTTCAAGTGCCCTATCCAAAGGCTGTAAAGGGACTAGCATAAGGAGGGATTATCTTAAAGAACATTTGAGTTAAGAATACATGGCATGGACCGCTGTTAAAATGCCACGAGAATAGGTTCTGCTATTTATCTCGCAAGAAACTGGAGATATCAGACAATGTTGCAAAGAAAAACATTGACAATGATGCTTCAGAAGGAAAGCGGTTCTATTCTCCAAACGTATTCATGTGAATATTGCCACACCATAAATAGTGATCTTGAGGAGATTAGCAGTGACGCCTTAATTCTGATATAAGTGATGTTGCATTTGCGACGACTGAATGACCGATAACAGAAGAGAGTTACAAGGTATGTTTTCTCATGATATAAACAATATCGAGAGGCAAGTGGTAATTGGATTGGATACAAACATGCAAAGCTTGACCGTTTACGGTGGCTCCTAATACGATAATATAAGATCTACTTGCTAATTCATAGAAGCTGATGACGCTTCCGTGTCGACCAAAAGTAGTCTTTATGCTGCAATACATAGTGACATGATGATTGCGGCGGACCATGTGCAAAAAATTGACCCTTATTCGAACAGCAGGGTAGTGATAGGCATGTCTCGTCGCAGATATGAATAATATATCGTAACCTGATGACGCTTGTCCTTGTGCAAAAACAACGATTATTTTCATGAACAATAATGTAAAATGATGGCTTGTCTTCTGCTTCTAATGATTACGGCAATGGAGACGAGACAAATGCGAGAACATAAATGTTGAACATTAGATTTATACATTGAAGTTATGAAGCAGATGGACATTATGTGCAGTAGTGATGTATATGATGATGTTGATTGATACAAATTCGGATACAGACGATTCAGAAATCGAGATTATTGATATATCTGATGGAAGATGAAGGACAGGAAATAGAAAGACACACGTTGTGCACAGAAGTTGAAGTCTGGACTAGGACAGGTTATCGCACTATACTACATATAGAGGGGAAGAACCTGTATTTTGTCGCGTTGAATATGAAGACGATTACCATTGCTATACAATGCAATAAATGAATAGTAATGTACTGAGGTACTGACTTATAGTTCAACAGAACAAGGGATGTTCTATATCGTATTTTGCTTGACATTTATATAAAAACCTACTGAAACAAGTTGAACTGTTTATATGTATAAATGTTACATACATAATTGCTTTGAAACATATATTTTAAATGTTTATAAATTGAAGAGATTGTTTAAGAAAACAGGAGTATGTTTCGTTCATTATGTTTAATAATATGTTTGCCATTATGCCTATTTGTTTAAATTTATAATGCGCAGTATGAGTTTAATTTTCTTAAGAAGAAGTTTGTTTCAGATTCTTGCATTTTGAGAATATTTAAAGAGCAAAATTTAATATGTACCAATTTTAGTGAAAGATATCATATTTTAATTTTTGTTGGCCGGAGTGTCGTGAATTACACGATTTTTGTTTTAGCTCCTAATCATGAGAATTATGTCTGTTTGTATTTGCAGGGAAAATATTATATTTATTTTACTCCAAAAGTTATGAATTGTGCATGTTTTGTATTTGGCGGGAAATATTATATTTCTTTTACTCCAAAACTTATGAATTGTGTATTTTGGTATTGGCGGGAATTTATTTCACTTATGAATTACTCCATATCATGATATTCATGACTCTTTAAATTGGCGGGAAGACAACACTATATAAGTGAATTACAAATCTTATTTTGGTAGAAGCGATATAAGTGGTAGAAGCGTAAGAAGTGTAAAAAGTGTAAAAGAAGTGAAGTGTAGAAAGTGTTAAAAAAAGTTGTTAAAAGGTGATTAAAAAGTATAGTTGGATGTAAAAGTGAAAATAAAATCTGAATATAAAAGTGAATTTTGTTGTCTTCAATGTAGTAAAAGTTAAAGGGAAATTAAAAGGAAAAAGTTTAGAAAATCTGCTACAGAAATGAATAATTGTTCTTTATCATTACTCACATCCTGCATGACAAGGTTCTTAAATCTAGAATCTTTTTTTCAAGAGTTATTTCCTCTTTGAACTTATAATTTTACTTTAAAAACTTCAAATTATTTTTGCTTTTATCATTTCTGTTTTTGAAGGGATTGGCTTCAAATTTCAGATTACAGAAATATATTTATATCATAATTGATTTTTTATTTCAGTTTTAATTAGTCGAGCTTCGCTGTCTCCTGTGACAGCTCTTGTTGGTTAAGTTGTCATTTATGGTCATTTACTTCAATACTTATTTTTTTTTGAAAACCAATAAAGCTGGGAAGTTGTCATACGACCTTTAAAAGTGACAGTGATTGTTAAAAACACAGCAAAACATAAAACCTAAAAAAAAAACAGAACTTACCGCTTCAAGTACAAAGGTCAAGGTCACTAGGTCCTGTAAGTTCATCTTTTGTCCCAGATATAAGTCCCTGATGAAAAACTCTTTAGTTATGAAATGAAGTGAAATGGATATTAAAATATAAAAGAGGATACTGCAAAAGTATATTTTCTTTTTGTTCTTAAGAAGTTACTTCCCTTCAAAAAATGCAGTATTGCAAATAAAGTTTTGCCGAAAGTGCCTGACATCATTTGTGTGTTCAAACAGGAGGCTTAACCATATACTTTCTTGATTTTTATTAGGAAATTAACTTTTATTATTTTCAACCATTTTACGCTTATAACCTTTTTAATAAGGAAACTTTTCCCAGATACAGAAGTGTATTACGGAAGCGCCCATTTGCCAATTTAACATGTTCTATAAAAAACTGATAACTCCTACGTAGGAGATAAAAAAAAGCCTAATTATGAGTTTATATGTCCTACCTAGGACTTAATTCATGTAAGTCCTACGAAGGAGATAAAAGCTTAATAGGAGAGGGTTTTTTTTTTTTTTGGGTTTTCATCATCTTTGGGGTTTTCTTTTCGGTTTTTCAAACGGAACACCGGTTTTTTTCAAACCAAACTCTTCTTGTATTTGGCAAGGTTTCATTATTTTGATTTGTAGAAATATAAAAAACCCGAAAAAGGAAAATACAAAAAAAATGGATTATTAACCAAAGAAACATTGTTGAAAATTTAAAATATCAAAAGGTTCAAACGATTAACAACAAACTTTTTTTGAAAGTTAAAGTTTTCTACTTTTAATAAATCGCCCCCAGGGAAATAAGTTTGTTTAAACCAAAAAAAAACTTTCCGTATTTTTTGTTTCAATTTGGGATGAATTTTTATAAAATATGCTTAAAACCCCAAAAACAGTTAAAATCTTTCAATTGCGAAAAAAGTCTTTATTCCCCGAGTCGTTATTTTATCTCAGCATAGGGGTGAAAAAAAGTTATCGACCGAAAATTGACAGAAATAAACTTAAAGTCACTGACAACTAACAGAGATGTTCTATGTTTCGTTCTTTTAACTAAACCTGTAACCAGCTTAATTTGTGTAACATATTTGACGTACCTTGAATTTGGAACAGTCCATTCGGAGTTTTAGGAATTTGTGTATAAAAAAAAAAGCAACCTACAGAATAGAACTGCCAGACAACACAGAAGCGCTAGCTGGCCTGGCTAAGACCAATTACTTTCGGTTGTAGAAGGAATACTATAAGAATGGAGAAAATGCTGATAAATTGTAATCTGCACTATTTGGAAAGTTTAAATGAGTTATTATGATTTATAAATCTTGTATAATGTATGTTCTAGCTCGTCTAAGTGGAAGTTCATTCAATAAGTTCAATATTAAAAAACAAAATAAAAAGGAGCTTCAAACAGTATAAATCATGGTTTTCACCGCCTGGTGGCTTATAGGCTTAAGTAAATAAGTAAACTATCGCTGTATCTTTGCTTTTTCCAAATTTTTGATTTTCAATGGATTTTAAGTCTCGAGACGTAAGGAAAATGTTCATATTTTTGCCTTGATTGATAATCCGTGAAGAAAATAGGGATTAAAAAAGATATTCAGCTTGTACTTTTAAAAATACGCTACAATATTCATTTATAAGTGTCAGTATAAATCTAATATCTATACCCACGTCAGAATACTAAAACTAAAAAATACTTTAAATTCTATTTGATGTAACTATTTAAACGTTTAATAGATACCATTAATTGACTGCTGTGGTTATATATTTCTAAATGAAAAAACACGAATGGTAAATATTTTGGTTCATCATCGTTTGTCACGTGATCAGCATTGTCATGTGATCATTATTTCATTTCATTAACTATGTATGACAAGGTTTATATGAGATAAAACTTGTCAATCTCTACCTGCCCGCCTGTTCAACCTACAACGACATTCCTTAAGTGTTTTTGTGGTGAATTATACTTGTTTTGATATAACACCACACCGACAAATATAGTATAAATTTATATTTATTCATTCATTCATGACTATTTTTACTATCCGTGTTGAGGCGATCAATATTTAGTAAAAGTTGAGAGTTGCGGAGTGTTTTCTAGAGATATTTGAGACTTGATATACAACATAGGATAATATTGTACTGAGTAGAACTGCAGTTTGTTAACTTAGGGTTAAGTAAGGATAAACTGAATAAAAAAATGGCGGGAACTGTATCACGCAGCCAGGCGGAAGCATACTGGAAGAAGTATAACAAAGATGGAAATGATGTATTGACAGTGGAGGAGGTTAAACAATGTCTCCAGGAAGTATATGATAGTGCAGATGACTTTGATGTTAAGGTATGTAGGATAATTATGTCTAGCAATAAAACACTCATTAAAACCTGGGCGTGGTTACTAAATGTTATGGTGACAGGGCTTGTGGGTTCGAGTTTTACTAGAGTATCGATATGGCACATCACTTGGTAATAGTCCAGGAAATGAGCTGAAAGTAACCTAAATAAGCTTTTGTCATGAACAAGCGAGTATGATTTAAGACGTGTAAGTTTATAATACATCAACCGAACGGTTTGCTAGCCGGCCATAGCAGTTCAGGGCGGACGTTTGATATACAAAAGTTGAAATTTGATATTTAGCTTACATTCACGTGCATATTATACATATGGATATCAGAAGTAAAGGTACAAGTCTTCCTATATGTATGATTTGCATGCAAATGTGTGTGCTTTTCTTCGCTGGCGATGAGGGTTTAACAGCAAAGTTCAAATTTATTACATCATGTAGTGTATATGCTAGTTTTATACAGTCATTTACAGTTATCCTAAAAAGGGTATTTCATCACTATAATTTAATAGCTGTCACAGCAGAAAGACACATTGCCGATAATTTAAAAGCAAACATCAAAATTTTAAACATTTTTTTTGTATTTCGTTTTATGACTTAAAAAAACCCCAACTGGGCTTTAATAAGTTATTGAATATCCAGTATACAGTTTTACAGGGTTACCAAGATTTTACAAAGGTATAAATCAATCATTTAAAAATCTCGTATTTGAGAAACATCACCATGTCTACAACCTGAATTTGCAGGCAAGACACATAACAGCACTGTTTGTGTTATATTTTGTTAATGATTTTTCTTTTTGTCGAATGCCCTATAAAAAATGCAAGTTTACTCCGTTTGTAAATAGGGTAACAATTTTATGAAACGTCCATTTTATACGACGTCAGCATCCTTAAGAATCTACTCGTATTACTAAATCTATAATGGAAAAGCGTAATTTAATGACTAGTGTTTAAGATCAGCTCTAGCATTTAAAACTTTTAGCATATTAGGAGAATGAATTATCTGGTATTTTTTCAGCACTAAAAATTACATGTATATTAAATTTGTGTCATTGTTTTACAGGATAAATTTGCATTTTTTGGGCAGAAAGAACAAAAGGACCTAACAAAAGATGAGTTTATAAAAGGAATGATGAGGACGGAAAAATGGTAAGTATATAACTTTGTATTACAATTATACATGTTTACTACACCATGTTCATATCTTACCTAATGTATTAAACTTTTTTAAGTGTGTAGTATATATATAATCATTAAATAATATAGGATATTTACACATGAGAGATCACAAGTAAATATATTACCTCTCATAAAATGAATCATTTACATTTACTTAAATATTAGTGTAAACATTATTTATTTAATAAATTGCACATAAGATAACATTTACAAACATTTCACGAGAGCAAAATTCAGTCTGAATTGGAAAACAAGTAAAACAATAATTATGTCAATTCCTCTCCAGCAAAGATAAAGATACAAAAATGTTGCGGTTAGATCTAAGCTCTTTGAATGTATAACTAAAGCCCCAGTCACACTAGAGCTTACGACCAGTATTGAGCAGTTCACGATCACCAGTGACCTCTGGTCGCGGACAATCTTTAAAACGTCTTACGACGGTCATCGGTGATCTTTGGCAGTCGCAGGTTATCTTATTTAGGTCCCACGACCAATTTCAGTCGTAAAGAGGTTTTTGAGCTTGCACAAAAACCTCCTTGCGATCAAACAGGTCGCTAGTGATCTTATAAGGTCTTAAGGCTGTCGCACGATGGTCGTTCGGAAGTGCGACAATCTTACGACAGTCTTTACAAATTGCCACTAGTCACTGATAATCCTAAGTAGTCTTTAGTAATTGTGTGATGGTCGTACGACAAGTTGTAGGTGCTCGCATGTTATGACACGAGTAGTCGTAAGTAATCCCATGCAATCTTGAGACCATCGTACGTTTACTTATGACCTGTCGTACGATTGTCAATGTTGACTTGTCTTACGATACTCGCAAACGTAAATTTATCTGTGCATAAATGGCTTTGGTCGCAGACAATCGCTGATGATCGTCAGTTTTACAAGTCGCCGGTGGTCGCAAGTAATCGTAAGCTCTAGTGTGACTGGGGTTTAAGATAACTTATGGAAAAAAGATAGAAGAAAGAAAGAATATAAGGAGAAATATGATTGAATATATCCGAATTTAATACCTAAGATAAACATGTAAACTTATAGGTTCAGCAATAGCAATGTTTTCACATACTCGTAGATAAATCCTTAAAGCCTATATGCTTGAATTTTACTGATTAGTTCATAAGATTTACTGTAACGTAAAGGAGATGAACCAATATGATAATTAAAATTTTGCGTTGTTGCAAAACAAATTACTGAAATTTTTACTGTATAAAAATGGTATTAATTCGAATTTAAGCGAAAAAGTTTCCTCTTTATTCTGTCGTACGCGGAAAAGCACAAATGTGTCTTTAAACAAATAATTTAACACTAGTGAGATATATTATGCATTTTGCATTTTGTAAAACAAAAATAGTACATTTCTCAAGTATAGAAGTCGTTGTGGATGCCCGCATTTTATGTATTTGGAACTTCCTATGTTTTTACAGTATAGATTTGAAGAAGGTGTTTAAAGCGATGGATAAAGACGGAAACGGAAGTCTAAGTAAAGAGGAGCTTGAATCCGGCCTCGCTGCCAATGGTTTCGAGGGGGAAGTGGCTAAATGTATCGTAGAAGAACTGGAATTTGACGGTGATGGAAAGTACAATGTTGATGAATTCCTAGAGACAGTTGCATTTAGCGAACAATTTGCGCAAACGTACGGATGTTAGACTGTTATATGTATTGAAAGTGCAATTATATAATGGCGGCATGTAATATATTGCGATGCTCCAACTAGCTGCGGCTATTGTAAACGGCGTCAACGAAATCATATAATATGTGTTAATCACTATGCTATAGTTTTACTTTGTAAACTGCCAATGACTAAAACTTGTTTTATGTTTAAATATATTGCCTATTTTAGGTTTTATCCCTATGCTTTGCATATTGGTATATGTTCAAGAACTTTAAGTGAAATTATATTTTACTTTAAATCCTGTCTAGATGTATCTTGATAATCTCTACTTGCCACACACATTTTCAGGCCAAAAGATAATTAAAAGTCCAATCCAATGAAATCTGAATATATTCAAACTGACCATTAAAGCAAAGTGCTTTGACCTAGGAACTTTAAACTTCTTATGTAGATAACCCTGATGAATTCTATCAGCCACACAGGAGTGTCTGTGGCTGAGTGGTTAAGGTCTTTGACTTTGAAGCACTTGCCCCTCACCTCTATGGGTTTGACTCTGGCTTGGGACTTTAGATTCTTTGAAGCGATGAAGCTAATTTAATCTATTCAGCTAGCTTTCAGACAGTCATAGGAACTTCCACCTAGGTCCCCACTTGTCCCTGAAACATTGTACAGGGTGCAAATTAGGTGTTCCTCCACCAGTACCACTGGAAAGGCTCCATATGAACTTTAAAAGTGCCAATAAGACAAAACAAAATCTCAAAGCAAAACCAGAAGTAAAAAGGTCAGGGTCACTAGATCCTATAATATTAAAACATAAAACTGGTCATTAAATCAAAATGCATTAAGTAAAATATTTCAATCTTTGCAACTATGTTGATGTACCTTTATTAGTCCCAACCCGAATTAGTGTTATCCGTATCAAATGTCAAGGTCACACACACTTATATAAACTGCTTTGAAATCAAAAAGGTATGTTTTTGTTTATTACTCTTTTTGTTGGAAATGACTGAAAACCAGAAACGCTCCACTATAGCTATTTCCCGCTTCTTTTGGTATCTGTTGCTAGCAGAACTACTTTATGAAACAAATGTGATAACGAACTTGCAACTTGAAGCGGGCCAGAATTTTTATGCAGTTTTGTGGATACTACGCAGTTCATATTGTTTTATCAGTCGTCTTTTACCCTCAAATCAATTATATACTCTTTTCAGAGTTAACCATAAACTTCAAAATATAAGTTTACATCATTTATTAAAATTTCATTAAAAAGAGATATTTACTTTCGACGAAAATAATGGTTTGTACGAAAAGATACGACACAGTTGAAAATAACGCTTATTTTTGAAGCTTGAAGCTGTAGCTGTAAAAGTTTGTTTGTACCTACGTATTAGCTTGGAAAACCCAAATATTCTTTATTCCGAATTAAGTCTATTTTAATTCCAGAATACCGTCCCAGGATGATAACATGAGCCTTTGTTTACCTAACAAAGATTAATAATAATGCGAAAAATATTGTTGAAGTATTTATTGAATACACAAACAATAACACAAAGTAAAACGTTATATTTTCATGTGCTTTGATAGCGCAGTGGGTAGAGCGACCGTGTCAGTGTTGTATTAATTGGGTGATTTAGGTATCTTTTTTCCTTATTTTACCAGGTTTGTATGAGATAGAATATTTTGTATGCACTTGTGTAAAGTTAGAGAGAACGTCAAACATCAGGAAAAAGCATTATTAGAAATGTAATAAAAAGATATAATGAAGTAATGTGTTTTTCAGTTGCCCCGTACTTCACTTCAGTGTTGTTATATTTTCTGGTCCTTCGGGATCATTGATGCCAACACTATAAAGTACTGAGAATTGAGTACCGCTCAAGCCGGTGCTAGGGGGCGTGAGGGATGTTGCACTTATTCATTATCCCTCATGTACAGACTCAATCAAACCTAGTCTGCAATTCTTATGTTATTTTGTTGCGATTAATGCTTCCGAGGGATTACTTTGTTTCCAGAACTTTGTACTTCACAACAGCAGGTGTCAAGTGCCGTGTGGCAGCCGTAAAAAGTTGCCCCGTACTTCACTTCAGTGTTGTTATATTTTCTGGTCCTTCGGGATCATTGATGCCAACACTATAAAGTGTTGAGATTTGAGTACCGCTCAAGCCGGTGCTAGGGGACGTGAGGGATGTTGCATTTATTCATTATCCCTCATGTACAGACTCAATAAAACCGAGTCTGCAATTCTTATGTTATTTTGTTGTGATTAAACGACGCAATTGTGTTTTGTTGCAGTCTTTTAAATGGTCACAAGTTTGGCAATATATGTCTATTTTACCGAATAATCACTTGCCCTTGATAAAAACCATACTTTGATTCCCAGCCCTAATACTTGTATACCATCGAAATAGTAAAATGGATGAAAAGCCATGAACAGCCGGAATATACTCCTACTGTTGACAACCTTAAGCATGTGAGATTCAGATTTAATTCAAGCAAAATTTACAGCTGACAAAATGGGTTTTAGACATAAAATGTAAAGGGAGGCTATTCCTAAGACGAATTTTCCTTTTGTTCTATAGTAGTTACTTTCCTTATTATAAATATAAGAATATACTTTCCTGATTCAAATAAGGAAGTGAACTTTTATGACTTGATTTTACAATTGTGATATTTTTTTCCGAGTTATTTTCAGCACGCTTCACTGTACAACGGACATATAAAGTGAATTTCCGGAATGATGTCTGTAGATATTGATAAACTGTCACACACAGATATAAACAAACTGAATGTATTGTCAGACTGAAATTAAGCCGACAAAAGTGATTTTAACACATGTCTATAACTATTTGTTTGACAAACATATAGCTTTTGTAGCAATACGATACCGTGTGCGCGGAAGTCATTGACATCGTATAGTTACATGTCTGGTTTGACAAAACAAAATTTGAAACCGCTTTCTTTTCTTTTAACGTTTATCTCAGCTTATACCACCTTAGTTTATGTGAACTCAATAAATTTATCAACATAAAGATGCACAGTCTTTATGGAGAATAATTCCATATCGCCTGCGTCGGCTTAATAGCTCTTTTTTAGTATTGAAATTGACAACAAAAACTCATATCTGGTTGACTGTTTTGTCTAACGACTGGATAAAACTTCTTTGAAATAAATATAGACACTCTTATAAAGCCCATTAGCCATCCAAGGTGTCATTTATTTCTTCATTTAATTACCGTATTTTCCGGAAATAACATTATTAAGCAGAACAAACATGCATTAGTTCAGCTTCTTTTCAACCATTTTAAGCGTATATCTTTGTTAATAAGGAAACCTTTCCCAGATACTGAAGTTTACAGAATGATAGAGTGCGGTTTTTGCCCTGTGTTAAAGTACATTCATTAGAATAGGCTATTTTGTCTATTAATGATTTGGATAAATTGGACACGTGTGTTCGAAGTTAAATTAAGTGATTTATGCCAATTTTGCATCATTAAATAAAAATTACTGACTATAATGATTTAAAAAACGGCTGGCTTTGAAAATAAATCCCTTGTTTTTTTTATTACAGATCATATATCACAATAAAATCTCAGTAGGATAAAAATTTCTTGAGAGAAAAAAAAAACATCGACAATTCTAGAATACCTTGGCTAATTCTAGAATACTATAGCCAATTCCAGAACAACAGTACCAATTCTTAATAAACAAGACCAATTTCTAAAAAAAAAATAACAACGCCAATATCAGAATAACAGGGCAAATTCTAAAATAAAATACAAATCGTAAATACTAGAATATCAGGGTCAATACAAAATGGAATCAGTTTGATTAATTTAGAAGCAGGGTCTGTATCACGGGCTACATGTTGCCTCACTTTATTTATATTTTATGCCGCTTTATGTTTGGTTACATTCTGTTTTTACTTATTTATGAACTAATAATTGATTAATTATATTTTTTGTAAAAAGCATACATTTTCAATGACGTTTATTTCTGTGGTACTTGCCCAAGCATGCAATTGAAGGATCGTGATGTTGGTTTCCATTTCTATTTCCTCTTTTGCGACATCAGATATTTCGTTTGATCTCTGTGAAAATCGACATACAATTTCTTCTTCTTCATTTTGTCTCGTCAGATTATTTTTTTTTTAATTTTTTTCTTCAAAATCTTAAATTATTAACATTTAGTTTTCTATTTACTTTTTACTGTGAATTGTATAAAGCAGGTTTTAATTTTAAAAGTGTTAACTTTTGGTACAAATGTTCAGAATTGTATATAAATTGTATTTAAGTGTTATCGAAGATAATATTAGCGATGTCCATTTAATAGATGACGGATTGTCTGAAGAAACTATATTTCACCAAAAATGACGGATAAATGTGTCAGTTAACTAATGGTTTTTCAAATATGCATTTGTTTTGTTTTGTTTAAACTGGTGTTTCTATGTAACCACTTTAAAAGTAATATAAAGATGAAGATATACAAAGTTCTATTCTTTAACTGAAGAAACATATTTGTTGTTGTTCTGTATAACTGATACAAATATTAAACTAAGTCGTCCTTTTTTAAGAAGGTGGCATTTTTGTTGATATGTGGAGTATATAGAGGATATTTGTTTGTTTGTGTGTAAGATGAAATTTTATTTTATCGAGTGGGCTTTAAAAACAGTATTCTCTCTCTTTTTATTTTATGCTTAAAAACAAGTTAAAACGAAATTTCCTTGATATTAACTTCAATATTAAAATCAATTATTTTTACGACCAAGACTTATTGTATTTCAGAGACTAAAGAGACTAAAGCTGTCAATGGGGAAAACAGATTTTAATATTATCGTTAATATTAAGGAAATTTCGTTTTAACTTGTTTTTAAACATAAAATAAAAAGAAAATTTGTTTGTTTTGTTGTGTAAGATGTAATTTTATTTCATCTCGTGAACTTTAAAAAACAGTATTCTCACTCGTGGCTACGCCACTCGTGAGAATTCTGTTTTTAAAGCCCACTCGATGAAATAAAAATTCATCTTACACACAAACAAACAAATATCCTCAATATAAAAAATTATTCCTAGATCTATGTGTTGCATTTAGAAATAAAAAGAAAATCGACTCTTTAAAACCAAAAGTGACAAGTTTTTTTTAAAGAGAAACGTCCATTTCCCGTTTGTCATGGTGCTAATGGTTTCTTAAAGAACGATGAGATTTTAGTGTTTTAAAATTATAAAAACTACAACCGTACATAAAATTCCGTTTGTAATCAAATATTGACAATATTCATGTCATGATTGATGGACTTTGAGATGTTTTTATTATTGTAAAAAATTCTGGAAACAAAGTGATCCCTCGGAAGCATTAATCACAACAAAATTACATAAGAATTGCAGACTCGGTTTGATTGAGTCTGTACATGAGAGATAATGAATAAGTGCAACATCCCTCACGCCCACTAGCACCGGCTTGACCGGTACTCAATTCTAAACACTTAATAGTGCTGGCATCAATGATCCCGCAGGACCAGAAAATATAACAACACTGAAGTGAAGTACGGGGCAACTTTTTACAGCTGCCACACAGCACTTGACACCTGCTGTTGTGAAGTACAAAATTCTGGAAACAAAGTGATCCCTCGGAAGCATTAATCACAACAAAATTACAGACTCGGTTTGATTGAGTCTGTACATGAGGGATAATGAAAAAGTGCAACATCCCTCACGCCCCCTAGCACCGGCTTGAGCGGTACTCAAATTTCAACACTTAATAGTGCTGGCATCAATGATCCCGAAGGACCAGAAAATATAACAACACTGAAGTGAAGTACGGGCCACTTTTTACAGCTGCCACACAGCACTTGACACCT